CCTGGTCTCAAAAACACTGAAATAGGGAAAGGCCAGTGTGGCTAGTTACAAGAGAGCGGACAAGCCTCTGATTCCACGAGCTATTCGATGGAGACCTTGAGACCTGACAGGGCAGCAGCATGGCAGGCTAGCCTTGGGCTTCTGGCCAGACCACTGGCCGGGCAGCAAACATCGCCAGGCAGGGCTGCTCACACGCCCTTGTCTTCACACAAGAAAGGGTTCAGGCATGGGACAGAGTCACGACAAATGAAGTGGCATGATTTGATGGACAGAAATCCACCTGCTGGGCCAGGTGGCCGTCTGAGGCGAGCACACAGCACCCTCAGGGCTTCTTCCCGCACTCTGCACGCGCCATCCCGTCGTCCCGGCTGCTCTGCTCCTGTCGCAGTCAGGGGGCGGCCCCGCTGCGTGCATCTGCCTCATGCTCTCCTTGTCTTGGGTTTCCGCAGACTCATGTCCCATGCCTTGTGTTTATCTGAACTGGGCTTGATGGTTTCTGTGTAGTCCGTGGTTTATCTTGGGTCAAACCCGAGAAAACCCTCTTATTAATTCTTTCAAGGTCGCTGTGGGCCAGTTGTTTGCCATCCCCCCGGGGCTCTGTTTCACAACCAGACCTCTCCTCCAGGCACGCTGTGTCAGGTCACTGCTGTGGTCTGTCCCTCTCCTCGGGCACGCGGCGTGGCTGGTCACTGCTGTGGTCTGTCCCTCTCCTCCGGGCACGCTGTGTCAGGTCACTGCTGTGGTCTGTCCCTCTCCTCGGGCACGCTGTGTCAGGTCACTGCTGTGGTCCGTCCCTCTCCTCGGGCACGCGGCGTGGCTGGTCACTGCTGTGGTCTGTCCCTCTCCTCCGGGCACGCTGTGTCAGGTCACGGTGCTCACGGCTGTGGTCCTGTCCCTCTCCTCGGGCACGCGGCGTGGCTGGTCACTGCTGTGGTCTGTCCCTCTCCTCGGGCACGCGGCTGTGTCAGGTCACTGCTGTGGTCTGTCCCTCTCCTCGGGCACGCTGTGTCAGGTCACTGCTGTGGTCTGTCCCTCTCCTCGGGCACGCGGCGTGGCTGGTCACTGCTGTGGTCTGTCCCTCTCCTCGGGCACGCTGTGTCAGGTCACTGCTGTGGTCCGTCCCTCTCCTCGGGCACGCGGCGTGGCTGGTCACTGCTGTGGTCCGTCCCTCTCCTCGGGCACGCGGCGTGGCTGGTCACTGCTGTGGTCTGTCCCTCTCCTCGGGCACGTGGCGTGGCTGGTCACTGCTGTGGTCTGTCCCTCTCCTCGGGCACGTGGCGTGGCTGGTCACTGCTGTGGTCTGTCCCTCTCCTCGGGCACGTGGCGTGGCTGGTCACTGCTGTGGTCTGTCCCTCTCCTCGGGCACACTGTGTCAGGTCACTGCTGTGGTCCGTCCCTCTCCTCGGGCATGCGGCGTGGCTGGTCACTGCTGTGGTCCGTCCCTCTCCTCGGGCACACGGCGTGGCTGGTCACTGCTGTGGTCTGTCCCTCTCCTCGGGCACGTGGCGTGGCTGGTCACTGCTGTGGTCTGTCCCTCTCCTCGGGCACGTGGCGTGGCTGGTCACTGCTGTGGTCTGTCCCTCTCCTCGGGCACGTGGCGTGGCTGGTCACTGCTGTGGTCCGTCCCTCTCCTCGGGCACGCTGTGTCAGGTCACTGCTGTGGTCTGTCCCTCTCCTCGGGCACGTGGCATGGCTGGTCACTGCTGTGGTCTGTCCCTCTCCTCCGGGCACGCTGTGTCAGGTCACTGCTGTGGTCTGTCCCTCTCCTCGGGCACGTGGCGTGGCTGGTCACTGCTGTGGTCTGTCCCTCTCCTCGGGCACGTGGCGTGGCTGGTCACTGCTGTGGTCTGTCCCTCTCCTCGGGCACGTGGCGTGGCTGGTCACTGCTGTGGTCTGTCCCTCTCCTCGGGCACGCTGTGTCAGGTCACTGCTGTGGTCTGTCCCTCTCCTCGGGCACGTGGCGTGGCTGGTCACTGCTGTCCCTCTCCTTGCGCTGCTCCCGTGCTCTCCCCAGACCAGTCTTCGTGTTCATTAACCATCTCTTTGCAGTGAATCCCTCTGCTAAATTTGTAACTTCAGTTACTCTACTTTTCTCTTTTCAACCATTCATTGGATTCTTTTTCACAGACTCCACTTCTCTGCTGAAAATATCCGTGTCATGAAAATCTATTTTCTTGAACATACAAACGTCAGCAGCCTTGTTTGTGTCTGACATGTGGCCGTGCACTGGGTATCACTGCGCGCCTTCTCCTGTTGGCTTCTGGTCTTCTGTTTCCCAGCTTCCCTCTGTCCTCGCCTGGACATGGTGTACAAGCCGGCAGGCAGCTGGCCTGGGTCATCCCGCTCTCCCCTGGACACTTCTGGCCGCCGCAGGCGACGGAGGAAAGGGACGTGAGCTCAGTCCCGCCGAGGCCGAGCCGTGGGAGTCTGTGCTTCAGTCTGGGTGAGGATTGGCCCGGCTGGGCCTCAGCCTCCCTCCTCTGATGGATCCTGAAGGCCGTGGTGCTGATCGGAGTCTCCCGTCTGCAAGGCTGCCTCCGGTGACTGTCTCGCCCACCGCAGACTCCGCTGCTCTGGCTCCTGTCCCCTGCGCCATGGGCTGAACCAAACCCCTCAGTGTGACGGTGTGGGGCCAGGGCCTTTGGGGAAATGAGGTTGCAAGGTGCTCAGCACGGCAGCACGGCTGCCCTCAGACGAGAAATCCCAGAACTCCGTCCCTCTGCACACAGGGAGGGATGGCCGCAGGACACGGGCAGGAGCTGTGCGCTCAGAAGGCCTCACGCACCCTGATGGCGCCTCTAGGATGGTGACGGAGACAGAAGTCTGCTTGAACATGCCTGGGCCCTCCCCAGGTGTGCGTTCGTGTGGTATGTATATAACGGGGTATGTGACGGGTGTGCAATGCGCATGTGCTGTGTGCTGTGTATGCGTGGGGTGTTGTGTATGAATGAATGTTACGTGTGTGGTGTACATGGTACGAGTATGTGTGTGTGCAGGATACCTGTGGTACATGTACTGGGCTGTGTGTCTGTGGTGTGCACACGATGCAAGTGTAACGTGAGTTTCTGTGGGATATGTGACGCGTGTGCACATGTGGCACATTTCATATAAGTGTGTGATGGTATGTCCACATGTGTGTATGCATGTGGTGTGTGATGTATTTATAATGTGCACGTGTGTACATGTGGTGTGTGACGTGTGTGCTTAAAGGCAGCCTGAGTTGAACAACACAGCTTGCTAATCAGGCAGCATCTCAGAGGAAAACATCCTTTCATTTTTCTGGAATCTGTTCCTCAGACAAGCTCTGTCTTGGCAGAGATGTGATGTCTTGGAGCCCAGCTAAAATGTCACTTCCTGGCCACTTACGGACGGCACACGTGGCGCCAGCAGCCTCTCAGCACACGGACAGTCCGCGAGGTGTCTGGGTGTGTCCCGGCACCGTTCTCTCCAGCTGCCGCCGACACCCGCGGAAACCCACGGGCCCTCCATTTTCAGTCATATGTGTGGTTTTTTTTAAAGACAGATTTAATTTGAAAGGCAGAGTTACAGAAAAAGAGGGCTAGACAGAGAGGTAGTAGCCTTCCATCTGATATTTCATTTCCCAAATGTTTGGCTCACTGGCTGGCCAGGAGCCAGAGGCTTCTTCGAGTCTCCCAGGCGGGTGCAGGGCCTAAGCGCTTGGGCCACGCTCTGCTGCTCCCCCAGGCCGCAGCAGGGAGCTGGCGGGGAGCGGAGCATCTGCGCCCACGTGCGATGCTGGCATGCTCTGGCCCCGTGGGCGTCCAGTTGTCTTCTGAGTCACCCGTCCTGGCCCGTGCCTGGTGCCGGGGCCACCGCCTCAGCTGGGCGGCTTCCTGCGGGTCCGCCCCCAGCTCCCACCAGGCCTCCCCTTTAGCCCCCACACCCCTGCGGGGCTGCCCTGGGGCCACCACCATCCCTGCAGTGAGTCTGAGGATGCCAGCCTCCACACACACACACACGCACACACACACACAGAGACACACCACCCCAGGCACACTCACCACAGGGAGACACACACACACTGCTGTTGCCACACAGCCCACACACCTTCCACACACGATGTGCACGCTTCCCACACACAGCCCGCCTGCGTCCCCTCCTCCCGTGCGTGCTTCCCGACATTCCGCCATGCCCTCGGTCCTGCGTCCCTGGAGTGTGTGCTTCTCATTTTCCTTCCCAGAAACCAGGATGCGCTCCCGCTGCCTCAGCCTGCCGCGTCTGGGGCACATGTGGCCATGTGTTGTTTTCGAGGTGACGTGTGTCCAGGCGATGGTCCGGACGCTGTCCAGCCAGGTCACACCCAGGCGGCAGGGAGCCAGCCACCGGGCGGCAGGAGAGACCAGGCCCCGCGGGCAGCTGGTCCTGAGCCTCTCCCGCCAGACTCGGGCCTCCTCCTACGTGCCTCCCTGCCCGGGCGCTGGAGGCTGGCAGGCGGCTGGTGCCCCGTGGCCTTGCGCCCAGGAAACGCGTGCCCCCAGCTGCGGGAGGGCAGCGCCGGGCCCAGCCCAGGGTGGCGGGACCGTGTGCCTGGCCTCACACCCTGTTCGCTGCTTGCCCACGACGTGGCCCGGGCACCTGCCCTCCCGACCTCCAGCTGCCTCAGTCTTCTCCCCGTGACCGGTGACCCCAGCCCCGTGCCCACAAGCCTGATGGGCTGCACCTGGTAACGGGGCACGTGCGGGCAGGTCTGGCCCAGGCGACAGCCCGCTCCCGTTGGGCTCGGCCCCAGGTGCCCTTGCCAAGCCCCGGGGCTGGACGCTGACCCCGCCCGGGCAGCCGCGGCCCCCGCGCGCCCCCGACGCCGAGCCCGCGGACACCCGCCCGTGACGCATTCGCCATCGCCGAGAACCGGGCCCGGCCGGGCGCGTGCTCGACGCCCCGGGCGCGCGCCTCGTGCGCGCGCGGCCGCCACGTGATCCCGCCCAGCCAACCGGCGCGCCGGGATTTGAGGGATAAAGCGCGGCCCCGAGGGCAGTTGCGGCGGGAGAGCGGCGGCCCCGGAGCGCGACTGCCCGCTCGGCGCTGCCCCTGCCGCCGCCGCGACCTCGCGGAGCCATGTCCGAGGAGAAGCCCAAGGTAAGCACCGGGCACGGACATGCACGGCCCGCACCAGCGCGCCCCGCACGCCCGCGGACGGCCGCCCCTCCCCCCGGCCGCCCCTCCCCCAGCGGCCCGCGGAGCCACGCCCCCCGACGGCCCGCGGAGCCACGCCCTCGACGTCAGCCGAGGAGCCACGCCCCGGAGACGGCCCGGGCCGCGCCCCTACGTCGCTGGCTGAGCCCCGCCCCCGCCCGAGCCCCGCCCCCGCCCGGGCCCCGCCCCCTGGCGCAGGCGCGGCTTCCTCCCGGGGCTTCGGTGCTGTGAGCCGGCGTGGTGAGCCGGCTCCCGGGCCTCGCTCCTCGGGGGCGGCCAGCAGCCATGCCGGAGGGACACGCTCCGGGCTGCCGGGGGACGGGCCCACCGCCCCCCGAGTGTTCGTCAACTACCTCAGGCGGGAGAGCGCTCCCCACCTCAGTCACTGTCCCCCCACCTCGGTCACCGTCCCCCCACCTCGGGCACGGCCCCTCACCTCGGGCACGGCCCCCCACCTCGGGCACGGCCCCCCACCTCAGTCACCGTCCCCCCACCTCGGGCACGGCCCCCCACCTCAGTCACCGTCCCCCCACCTCGGGCACGGCCCCCCACCTCGGGCACGGCCCCTCACCTCAGTCACCGTCCCCCCACCTCGGTCACCGTCCCTCCACCTCAGTCACCGTCCCCCCACCTCGGGCACGGCCCCCCACCTCAGTCACCGTCCCCCCACCTCGGGCACGGCCCCCCACCTCGGGCACGGCCCCCCACCTCGGGCACGGCCCCCCACCTCGGGCACAGCCCCGTCACCCCCCACCTCGGGCACGGCCCCCCACCTCGGGCACGGCCCCCCACCTCGGGTCACGGCCCCCCACCTCAGTCACCATCCCCCCACCTCAGTCACCGTCCCCCCACCTCGGGCACGGCCCCTCACCTCGGGCACGGCCCCTCACCTCAGTCACAGCTCAGGCCCGGCCTCCTACCTTGGGCACGGTCATCCCAGCTCAGGAATGGCCTCCCAGCTCGGGCACGGCCCCCCAGCTCGGGCAGGGTGCCCTGCTCCGTCGCGGTCCAGGCGCCCACCCCTCGGGCGCACCGCCCTGCCGGCTGCTGCCCGTGGCCCCTGCCCTGTGCTGGGCGGCCTGGGTGAGGCTGCCACCCCAAGGTGGCGTGGGCAGTAAAGCACACGCCCCTCCGTGCCCGGTGCCCTGAGGAAGCTTGCTGGATGCCACAGCTGCCCAGACGGCGTCAGCCCCTACCCCCCGGCAACCCTCACACCAATGTTGACACCACAGAGATGGGCACGCTGCCCCTGAAACTCAGTGAGCCGGCTGTGCAGCTTTGGGGTCTCCCCGGACTGTGTACTGGGTGGGGTTGGCACCCACCCCCCAGAAAGGCTTCTCTGTGTGGACCACCTTCCTGCAAATGCTTGCCTGGTTTCCGTGGATGGTGCCAGGCACGCAGGGTCACGCAGGGGTAACACTTCCCAGGGGGCATTCGGCGGGGGCAAGGGAGCTCTCCATGCCGAGGCACGGTGCTCGAAGGAGGCACCATGCTCAGGGGGGCACAGTGCTCAGGGGACACAGAGCTCAGGAGGCATAGTGCTAGGGGGCACAGAGCTCAGGTGGGCACAGTGTTCAGGGGGGCACAAAGCTCAATGGGGCACACTGTTCAGGGGCCACAGTGCTCAGGGGGGGCATAATGCTAGGGGGAGCCCAGAGTTCAGGAGGCACAGTGCTTGGGGGCCACAGTGCTTGGGAGCCACAGTGCTTGGGGGGCGTGTGGTGACTCAGTGCAGCCTGCCGGCTCACTGCAGCCTTCCTCAAAGAAGCCCCGCTGACGCATCTCCTGCCCTACAGGAGGGGGTCAAGACAGAGAATGACCACATCAACCTCAAGGTGGCCGGCCAGGACGGCTCCGTGGTCCAGTTCAAGATCAAGAGGCACACCCCGCTGAGCAAGCTCATGAAGGCCTACTGCGAGAGGCAGGTGCGACGGCAGCTGTGTGCGTGTCTGCCGTGCCCGTGCCAACCAGCTGCCTGTCATCCACACCTGTGCCTGTGTCACACACCTGTCCCTGTGTGTCCACACCTGTCCCTGTGTCCCCACACCTGTGCCTGTGTGTCCCCACACCTGTCCCTGTGTGTCCCCACACCTGTGCCTTTGTCCCACACCTGTCCCTGTGTGTCCACACCTGTGCCTGTGTCCCCACACCTGTGCCTGTGTGTCCCCACACCTGTCCCTGTGTCCCCACACCTGTCCCTGTGTCCCACACCTGTCCCTGTGTCCCACACCTGTGCCTGTGTCCCACACCTGTGCCTGTGTGTCCCCACACCTGTGCCTGTGTCCCACACCTGTCCCTGTGTGTCCACACCTGTCCCTGTGTCCCACACCTGTCCCTGTGTCCCACACCTGTGCCTGCTTCCCACACCTGTCCCTGTGTCCCCACACCTGTGCCTGTGTGTCCCACACCTGTGCCTGTGTGTCCCCACACCTGTCCCTGTGTGTCCCACACCTGTGCCTGTGCGTCCCCACACCTGTGCCTGTTTCCCACACCTGTCCCTGTGTCCCACACCTGTCCCTGTGTCCCACACCTGTGCCTGTGTTTCCCCACACCTGAGTGTCCTCTCCATACCCATGTGGGTCCCCCGCACCTTTGTGGAAGCCAGCCGCAGTGTGTGCGTCTCTGCCACCGAAGGCAGCGACCCAGGCACTTGAGCTGCCTTCAAGTACATCAATAGGAAGATGAATTCGAAACGGAAGGGCTGGGATTCCAGCAGGCGTTGAGTAGGGAGCCCCGACTGGTGGCTTCACCCGCTACACCACGTTGTACACCACCTAATTGTTGTCTTCGCTCGTGGCCGCGCCCGCCGCTGCACTCGCATTTCCGGCCCAGGAAGTGTGCCTAGAGTCCTTCTGTGCTGCCCGTGTCATCCCTCAGGCTCCAGTCCCTTCTTGGAATTTCCTATCCTCCTGAAGTTAACATCCGAGATATTTTAAAATGTTTCCATTCCCTTTTTTAATATTTGTTTATTTCTATTGGAGAGGTTCACTTGCTGCTGTTCCCAGTGATCAAAGCTGAGCTGATCTGAAGCCCTGAGGCTCCTGCGGGTCTGCCACGTGGGTGCAGCGTCCCGAGGCTTTGGGCCGTCCTCTGCCGCTTGCCCAGGACACAGGCAGGGACCCAAACCAGCGCCACATGGGTGAAGAGTAGCCTGTTGAGCCATGGTTTTGTTTGGTTTTGTTTTTTATGTAAAGTAGTAAGCAGGCGGGCCACGCCCTTGGAAGCGAGACCACCTGACCTCTCTGAGGTCTGTCTCCACCAGGAGTTCTGGCTGTGGCTTCAGGCCCTACTCTGTCTTCCGAGTTAGGTTTTCCTGTTCTTGCTCTGCTGCCCTTTTCTGGAAGGTTCTTTCAGCTCTGTCTCTGCTCTCTGTGGATCTCTTGCTTTTTGGTTCCCGAGCTTCTCTGCCCTGCCGTCTGGGGTGCGTCCTGGGTTCTGGTCTGTTTGTCACTTCCACCTCCCAGTGCTTTGGCTTTTATCTTTTCCCCAGATCCTCATTGTCCTCCCGTCCCGCTGGGGTTTGGTGGCCCACATTTGAGTCCTATATACCCTTTGACCTGTGGTTAGCTGGTCGCCTGCCGAGTGAAGCGGTAAGGCTGGTCAGGAGCCCCCTGCACGTGGCAGGGCTGCCCGGTCCTGGGACAGCCTGTCTGTCGGGCCTCCTGCGGGGCCTGGCTGCCCTGGAGTGGATGCAGGCTCGTGCCAGCCTCCCTGGCGAGCAGCCGTGGGAAGGGACTGCCAAGGCAGGGTGCGCCTCTCGCCACACTGGCCTTCGCGTCTGCTGCCGTGGAAAGGCCCCGCGCGGGGACCTGGACGGGAACCTCCCCGATGACTCTGGGCCCCTCTGCCTCTCAGACCCCGGTGTCCCCTGGCCCAGCTTCTCGGAGGACACAGGGAGATCGGCCAGCCGAGGTGGCCGAAGGGGAAGGTGCTTGGGGAGCAAGGCCTGAGGTGTGTCGCACGGCTCCTGAAGCCACGCAGCCCACGGTCAGCACGCGCTCAGTCGCCTCTTCTGCTGGTGGAACGATTTGATTTTTTGACCTAAGCTGTTATCTGGAAATACTTCACAGAAATGACCTCTTCTTTCCAGGGCTTGTCAATGAGGCAGATACGGTTCAGGTTCGATGGGCAACCGATCAATGAAGCAGACACGCCCGCACAGGTATGAGCCAGGGGTCCCGGGGCCACGTGGGTCATGGTCTTACTGCTTAGTGCTCCAAGCTCAGGTGTCACTTTTTCTTCATCAGTAGATTGTAAAATCAAAACCAGTTTCAAATTAGTTTTCAAATGAGAAGCCCGTCCTTTGTCGGGCATGGTTCCTGCTTAGAGCTCGCCTGAGAGCTGGCCCCGGGCCCTCAGCGCAGGCGGTCCCTGCCTCCCCGTGCTGTTCTGATGCTCGGTTTGGGGCGGGGTGCCCTTGACTGTGTTCTTCAGGCATCCTGCGCCAGGGACGTGAGGGGAAGGCACTAACGGGCTCCTCAGAGCTGCTATGATGACACCCCTGCACCTGGAATTGGTATCAGGATAAACAGATTCTTTCATTTTTTTTTCTGAAAGTCAGAGTTACAGAGAGAAAGAGGGAGCGAGTGAGCTTCTTCCTGCTGTTTGCTCAGTTGGCTGTGGTGGCCAGGGCTGGCCAGGCCAGGGCCAGAAGCTTCTTCCAGGTCTCTCCCGTGTGACAGTGGCCCAATTGGTCCATCCTCTTGCTTTCCCAGGCACTTTGGCGGGAGCTGGAGCGGAAGTGGGGCATCTTAGGGACACGGCTGGCCAGGTTCATTGGAGGGATGCTGAGCTTGGAGATGGTGCTGTACTCACGCGTCATGCCAGTCTGTAGGCCCAACTTAATATATTTTTACTAATTCAAAAGGCAGGGTTGATGTGTGTGAGAGAGACAGAGAAGGGTCTTCCATCTGCTGCTTTCCTCAATGGCCGCCATGACCAGGGCTGACTCGTGCCAAAGGCGGGAAGTCCCTGTGTCATCCACAGGGTGCAGGGCCCAGGCTCTCCCAGGGGCGTTACCAGCCCTCCAACGGATGCTCCCGTGGCGTAGTCCGACCCGCTGCACCACAACACCAGCTCCCAAATCAACTTCTTTAGGTCTGTTTCCCTCTAACCTTCTGAATACCCTGAAACAGCTTACCTTGAGTGAGAAGCTTTCCTATGTAGGCAGGTGGGTATGGGACTCTGTACTATGCCATAGGGGCCATGCTGTACTAACAAATGGGGGCAGAAAGCGGGATTTTGGCGTATTTTTTGTACTTATTTATATTTATCTGGAAGACAGAGACAGTCAGACAGAAAGGCCCTTGAGCTGTTGGTTCCCTAAGTGCCCACGACAGCGGGACTGGCCTGTGTGAGCGGCACGCGGCGCTCAGCCGGCTCCCCGTGGGTCGCAGGGCCTGGCTGCCCAAGACACCAGCTGTCTGCAGGTGCACCTCCACTCGGGGTGCACTTCTTCTTGGGGTACACTTCCTCTCGGGGTACACTTCCTCACGGGGTACACTTCCTCTCGGGGTACACTTCCTCTCGGGGTACACTTCCTCACGGGGTACACTTCCTCTCGGGGTACACTTCCTCACGGGGTACACTTCCTCTCGGGGTACACTTCCTCTCGGGGTACACTTCCTCATGGGGTATACTTCCTCTCGGGGTACACTTCCTCACGGGGTACACTTCCTCTCGGGGTACACTTCCTCTCGGGGTACACTTCCTCACGGGGTACACTTCCTCTCGGGGTACACTTCCTCTCGGGGTACACTTCCTCACGGGGTACACTTCCTCATGGGGTACACTTCCTCACGGGGTGCACTTCCTCTCGGGGTACACTTCCTCATGGGGTACACTTCCTCTCGGGGTGTGCTTCCTCTCACGGTGCACTTCCTTATGGGGTACACTTCCTCATGGGGTGCACTTCCTCTCGGGGTACACTTCCTCTCGGGGTGCACTTCCTCTCGGGGTACACTTCCTCATGGGGTACACTTCCTCTCGGGGTACACTTCCTCTCGGGGTGTGCTTCCTCTCGCGGTGCACTTCCTCTCGGGGTACACTTCCTCATGGGGTACACTTCCTCTCGGGGTGTGCTTCCTCTCACGGTGCACTTCCTTATGGGGTACACTTCCTCATGGGGTACACTTCCTTATGGGCTACACTTCCTCTCGGGGTGCACTTCCTCATGGGGTACACTTCCTCACGGGGTACACTTCCTTATGGGGTACACTTCCTCTCGGGGTGCACTTCCTCTCGGGGTGCACTTCCTCTCGGGGTACACTTCCTTATGGGGTACACTTGCTCATGGGGTACACTTCCTCACGGGATGCATATCCTCATGGGGTACACATCTTCTCGGGGTGCACTTCCTCTCGGGGTGTCATTTCCTAGGAAGCTGGAGTTGGCAGTGGAGCGAGCAGGTATGAGCCGCGAGCACGCTGACATGGCTGCTGGTGTCTGCAGCGCCTGGACGGCCGCATGGATGCTTGTCCCTTGAAGGTGGCCAGTTCCAGTGGAACTCTTGTCACTTGCATTCATGAGCAGCTTAAGTCTGTGTTTTGTCTGTGAAATTGAGATCATAACTGGTTTCCCTTGTCAGAATCCACAGGAATGCTTTAAATGAGAATATGTTCAACATTTAATACATTCTCCTGGGCCTGGCGTGATAGCCTAGTGGCTGGAGTCCTCGCCTTGAACATGCCCGGGATCCCATATGGGTGCCAGTTCTAATCCTGGCAGCTCCACTTCCCATCCAGCTCCCTGCTTGCAGCCTGGGAAAGCAGTTGAGGGCGGCCCAAAACCTTGGGACCCTGCACCTGCGTGGGAGACCCGGAAAAGGCTCATGGCTCCTGGTTTTGGACTGGCTCAGCTCCAGCCACTGTGCTCACTTGGGGAGTGAATCAGAGGACGGAAGATCTTCCTCTCTGTCTCTCTGTATATCTGACTGTTCAATAAAAGTAAATCTTTAAAAAATATATATGCTCAAAACCTGCTTGCAATATGTGTTTATACCTGAAACCCTCCACTGGGAGACCTGGTGACTGTCGGCAGCAGACGGGGTGCAGCCAGAGGCCTCCCTGTGTCAGGGCAGTGGCAGCTCCGGCCTGGGTGCCTGTACCAGCTGGCAGCAGCTGGCAGGAGCCTGAGGTTCAGAGCTGGGGAGTTCTTGGTGCCGAGGACTGGTAGAGCTTGCCACAGCTGCATGGGGCTCTGCAGGGCTCTGGGGGGCTCTGGGGGCTCTGCCTGGGGCTCTGCCTGGGGCTCTGCGGGGCTCTGCGGGGCTCTGCGGGGGTGGGGCTCTGCGGGGCTCTGCTGGGGGCTCTGCGGGGGTGGGGCTCTGCCTGGGGCTCTGCGGGGCTCTGTCGGGGGCTCTGTCGGGGGCTCTGCGGGGCTCTGCGGGGCTCTGCGGGGCTCTGCGGGGCTCTGCGGGGGTGGGGCTCTGCCTGGGGCTCTGCGGGGCTCTGCGGGGGTGGGGCTCTGCCTGGGGCTCTGTCGGGGGCTCTGCGGGGCTCTGGGGGGCTCTGGGGGGCTCTGCCTGGGGCTCTGCGGGGCTCTGCGGGGGTGGGGCTCTGCCTGGGGCTCTGCGGGGCTCTGCGGGGGTGGGGCTCTGCGGGGGGGCTCTGCGGGGGGGGCTGCTGGGGCTGCGGGCTCTGCGGGGGGGCTCTGCGGGGCTCTGCCGGGCTCTGCGGGGGTGGGGCTCTGCCTGGGGCTCTGCGGGGCTCTGCGGGGGTGGGGCTCTGCGGGGGTGGGGCTCTGCGGGGGGGCTCTGCGGGGCTCTGCCGGGCTCTGCGCGGGCACAGGAGGCGTGGGAGGGCGGCTTAGGAGCAAGGTACATAGCAGCTTCTGAGAACTCACAGCTCCCCCGCCCGCGCCCACAGCTGGAGATGGACGACGAGGACACCATCGACGTGTTCCAGCAGCAGACGGGGGGCGGCCTCCTCGCGCCTGCTGTGGCGTGGTGAGCCCGAGACCTTGCCGGGCGCACGGGTCCGCAGGAACTCACGGACACGCGTGGGGGGAATCCCCCTTGGACTCTGCAGGGACGAATCCACAGCTCCAGTCGGGCCAGTTGGCATTGTTACGTTTATTTAGGTAAAATGAGTTTTGGGGTTTATTTCCTTTTTGTTTTTGTTTGTGCCCTCTTTTCCCCGGGCCCGTGTGGGTTCTCTGAGGATGACCGTGGGCTCCCGTGCTCCTGGCTGGAACCTGCAGGTGGGCAGAAGGTGGCGCTCCCGCGAGGCTGTGTTGGCCCAGCTTGTGGAAGCGCTGAATATTGCAAAGTTCAGCTTTGTCCAGTGTGTCAGAATATAAGGGAAAATCTGGAATGGTTCTTCAGAGGTTAGACAGGACCTGCCTGGTCCTTCAGTGTTCTGCGACCCCGGGGCCAAGGCCCGCACCCCCAGCCCGCCCGCACCCAGTGGTGTGTGCACGGCAGAACCTGGCACGCCCACAGCCTGGCCTCTTCCCTGCTGGAATATGGAGGAAAGCCGTTACCACCTGCCTCCTTTGGTAAGGGTGTTGGGGTCTCAGATTTCTTCTAATATTTGCTTCTGATAGCTATTATGGTCTCTGTTGTACAATTAAGTATTGCTGAATTCACTGTTTTGTCGTGTACACAGCCCCTCCAGGGGTGGTTACAAGGGAAACCCGTGGGAACATGACTGCACGTTTTATGAACCCACGTGACGCCGCTTTCCAAATACGTGAACTGACACACTGCAGGTGACGTCCCTCGTGGCTGTACTTTGGGATTTAAGCCAGTTACAGTTGGTACAGTTGTGTGTGTCGTTGCCGAAGGGCCCGCCGCTGCCCACTGCCCTCTGCCTTCCGGGAGCCGACGGAGCCCGCGTCTGGCTTGCTTGGCATGTTCTCACATCCTTGCTTTGTTGTCGGGCGAGGTGGGGTGAGCGTGCGCCAGTTTGTACTCAGTCTGTTGTCCCTTCTTGCTGTAAACAGTAAATATAGTTTGCTATCCTGTCTCTGTGTATTGTTGACGCGGGAAGCCAGGCTGCTCGCTGCCAAGCTGGTCTCCGTGGCACGGCCCCCTCCTTGTCCCCGCAGGTTCCCACGCTGACCCAGGCTCTTCCTCCTCAGGGAGCCCTCGGTGAGCAGGCAGGACGGCACCCTGGCACATGCCTGGGTTGATTTTGGTGACAGATGCCTGTCTGGGCACCTCAGTCTTGCTGGCGTTTGGCCGTGGGGAGTCTACCAGTGTTTGCACGGCTGTGGTCTTCCTCCTTCTCCCGGCCTGGGATGTGATGGGAGCAGCCTGGGCGAGGGGCACACGGCGGCCAGCCAGCGGGCCAGGGCTGGCACAAGGGAGCCGGGCAGCCAGGGTGAGGGGCACATGGCGGCCAGCCAGCGGGCCAGGGCTGGCACAGGGGAGCCAGGTAGCCAGGGTGAGGGGCATACGGCGGCCAGCCAGTGGTCCAGAGCTGGCACGGAGGGAGCCTGGCAGCTAGGGCAAGGGGCACACCAGGGCCAGTGATCCAGGGCTGGCATGGAGAGAGTGGGTGGCCAGGGCAAGGGGCATATGGTGGGAGCGGGGCAACCAGGGCAAGGGGCACACCAGGGCCAGTGGGCCAGGGCTGGCATGGAGAGAGCGGGCGGCCAGGGCAAGGGGCACATGGTGGGAGCTGGGCAGTGAGGGTGAGGGGCATATGGCTGCTAGTCAGCTGGCACAGAGGGAGCTGGGCAGCCAGGGCAAGGGGCACACCAGGGCCAGCCAGTGGGCCAGGGCTGGCACGGAGGGAGCCAGGCAGCCAGGGCAAGGAGCACATGGTGGGAGCGGGGCAACCAGGGCAAGGGGCACACCAGGGCCAGTGGTCCAGAGCTGGCATGGAGAGAGCTTGGCAGCCCTGATGCCATGGGGGCAACCTCACACGGCAGGGTCTTATCTTAGAAAGTTGTGTGTTTAAGATTTTTCTTGGAAGAGAGAAAGGGAAATAAATCTTCCATCCACTGGTTCGCTGCAAGAGCCGGAGCTGCACCCATGCGAAGCCAGGAGCCTCCTGCGGGTCTCCCACGCGGGTGCAGGTCCCGGGGCTTTGGGCCGTCCTCCTCTGCCTTCCCAGCCACAGGCAGGGAGCTGGGTGGGAGCCTGCACCCCGTAAGAGCATCCTGCAGCGTGTGCACCTCCGGAAGCCGCTCCGTGCTGCCGACTCGGGGTCGGGCTCGGCTGGCAGAGTTGGCAGCAAACATCCCGGGAGTTAGTGTGGGCGAGCCCGGGGCGTGGGTTCCACATCCTCCAGCCGCGCCGCACGAGGAGCGGGGAGACGGGTACCGGGGGACGGCTCCCGCGGCCGGGCAGCCTCGGGGTCGCGGGGCGCCCCAGCCGTGCCCCAACTCCCCGGGCCGGCTGCCCTCAGCGCCGCCAGCGTCGCTCGCGCCCAGCGCGCCTGCGCGTCCCGCCTCGCTCCGGAAGGGCTTCGCTGCCCGTGGCGGCGACCCGGAAGGCGCGTGCTGTGTCGCTGTGGAGGCTGCGGTGGCCGGGCCATGGCGGGGACGGCGCTCAAGCGGCTCATGGCCGAGTACAAGCGTGAGTGTGGGGCCGGCGGGGGGCCTGGGGCGGGCGCCGGCCTGCCTCACGACGACTTCGAGGACGGGTCGGCGTCCGGGGCGGGGAAGGCCGGCCGCGGCCTGGCCAGCTGTCAGCGCTCCGGCCGGCGTGGGCTGCCGCGGGCCCGAGGCGCTGGCCGGCCGCGGCCCGTCCGCCCCGGCGAAGGGCTCGCCCGGGGTCGCCGCTCTGGAGGACGGGGAGAAACCACCGTGCCCGCGAGCCGGAGGGGCACACTGCCCGCCTCGGAGTGCGCGCGGTGGGCAGTGGGGACCGCGGCCTCGGGGGTCCCCTGGGGTGGACAGTGGGAGATGCGGTCTCGGGGGTCCCCTGGGGTGGACAGTGGGAGATGCGGCCTCGGGGGTCCCCTGAAGTGGACAGTGGGGGATGCGGCCTCGGGGGTCCCCAGGGGTGGACAGTGGGAGATGCGGCCTCGGGGGTCCCCTGGGGTGGACAGTGGGAGATATGGTCTAAGGGGGTCCCCTGGGGTGGACAGTGGGGGATGCGGCCTGGGGGTCCCCTGGGGTGGACAGTGGGAGATGCGGCCTCGGGGGTCCCCTGGGGTGGACAGTGGGAGATATGGTCTAAGGGGGTCCCCTGGGGTGGACAGTGGGAGATGCGGCCTGGGGTGTCCCCTGGGGTGGACAGTGGGGGATGCGGCCTTGGGGTCCCTGTGTGCCCTGCCCTCTGTGTGTGCCCCAGCAGGTGCAGCTTCCTCATGGACCTCTGCCGCCCATCGGGCGTCTGCACAGGATGTTTGCCCCTTTCTGAGGCCGCGCCCCCCGGAGCTGCTGGCACCACCTTGGGGGTGGGGGTGGGAAGCGCCCCAGGCCTGTGGGGGAGGGGACTCAGGTGGCTGACGGCCCAGGCCCTGCGGCCACACCGGCTGCCAGCAGCTGCCCGTGGGAACCGTGAGATCATCAGTGGGCATTGTTGGGACGCAGCATGCACAAAGGCCTGCGCCCAGCTTAGCGACAGGAGGGACAGGAGGACAGGAGGCCCTGTCCCCTGCGCACTACAGGCCATGCCCTGGGGGTCGCAGACGCTCAGGCAGCGTGCTCAGAGCCCCGATTGTATGGGACGCCAGACTGCAGGCAAGACTGCAGGCAGCGTTCAGAGCCCTGATTGTTTGGGACACCAGACTGCAGGCAGCGTGGGGGCCGAGGTCCTGACTTCGGAGCAGCAAGGCAGCACCGCCCGGCTTTCTGGGGTGTCCCCCGTGGGGGTGTGCAGGCAGTCCTTGGCGGGTCCTGCTCTCTGTGTAGCCTCACTCACCTCCGGCGCTCGGCTGAGATGTGGGGAAACTTGAGTGCTCTGGGGGGCACGCGTTAACCCAGCACAGGTCTGATGTGTGTGAAGCTGGCACTGCCTCCTCTCAGTGCCCCCAGCAGTTGGGGCTGGAAGTCTGTCCAGGCTGTGACGCCTGTGGGGCTGGGGGTGCTCAGAGGACCTCCCCCACACCTCCGCCCCCCGCCCGGAGCTGGCCTCCTCTCCCCCTGGCCTGGGCTCCTTCCTGCCTCAGTAACTCTGGCCTTGGTGTCTCTGTTCCTGCCCTGCTTCCTTCGGTTCTCACGCCACGGATAGAGCCTGTTCCAGCTTGGGTCGGATCGGGCCTCGTGCCCAGAACGCTGTCGAGTGAGCCAGCCCTCCGGGCGGCCTTGGGGGCTCCCGCAGCTCTGCTGGGCTTGGGCCTCTCCCCTGCACTCCTGGCGTGTGGCCCTTCTCCTGGGTCACGCACCCCTGCCTGCTTCCTAGTCCTGTCCCCATTGGCTGTCGTACCTGTCGCTGACGCGGAGTGCTCCTTCCTGTGTTCAGTGGATAGCACCCAGGCCGTGTCCTCATCTCCAGGTACACACGTGCAGGTGTGGTGGCCCCACGCGTGGCTGTGCCAGGAAGACGGTGGGGTCTGAAGCTGGCGAGCAGCTGTGGGGTGGGCCCTGCACACACTTGCCTGTAAGGGGTCACCTGCGGCCTCTGCTTGTCTTGGAGAAGTTTGCACCTTGCTGTGTTTGTGCTGGTATTTGTCTCCCTTTTAGTATTTATGTCAAGATTTATGTATATTTATTGGAAAGGCAGGTTTACAAGAAGGAGAGAAAAGATCTTCCATCCGTTGGTTCACTTCCCAAGTGGCTGCAACAGTTAGAGCTGAGCCAATCCGAAGGCAGGAGCCAGGAGCTTCTTCAGGGTCTCCCACATGGTGTAGGGTCCCATCTGGGCCGCCGTCTGCTGCTCTCCCAGGCCACAGGCAGGGAGCTGGATGGGAATCCGGGCTGCTGGGACTTGGAGGTAGAGGATTAGCCTCTTGATTCACCGTGCCGGCCTGTGTGGTACTGGATGGCAAGGTATCCCTGGGGGTACCCATATTTCAATCCGAGAGCCAGGTTCAAGTCCCAGCACCCATACTTCTGCTCCAGGGTCCTCCTGCACAGCTGGAGGCAGCAGGTTGGCTCTGGTGCTTGAGTCCACATGGCAAGCCAGCTGGAATGCAGGCCAGGCCTGGCTGTCGGTGAATCTGAGGGTGGAAGGTGTGTGTGTGTGTCCCCTCCTGGCTCTCTTTCTCTGCCTTTCAAAATGTGAGTGTGTGACTTAGCGAGTGGGCCCGTGTTCCCCGTTGCTGCGTTGTGGGGTGTGTGTGCTGTGCAGCTTTCAGCTTGGCTGCTGTGACGGTCCCTGGCGTCCATGCCCTCTCCAGGCAGTGGCCCGTCTACCGTCAGGGCCCGGGGAGCTGCCTGCTGTGCGTGTTTGCAGAGCTGTCTGTGTGTGTCAATGTGACATGCGCCTTGCTCAGAATGTCTCACGCATGGGCCGACCCGAGCCCGGGGACAGCACGCACAGACCTGCGGTGCTCAGGCGTGCTTGGTGGCATGGCTGCAGGCCTGTGAAGCAGCTGTAACTTACAGCTGGGGCTCAGCAGCTCCAGTGGGCCTGCTGCTAAGCGCACGCAGGAGTGGGAGCTGTGTGTGTGGCATGTACATGGCTGGGGTACCTGCTGGGCACACATCCTGCAGGGCTGAGGCAGGAGGGCTCCCGCAGCTGTGCTTACCTCTCCCTTGCAGCCGGCACTTGGTGGGGGGTTCAACTCGGGAAGCCTCCTCTCCCTGGTGGCTCATGGCCTTGGCGCCGCCGGGTGCCCGCTGGCGCCCACTGGTGGCGGGCGCAGTCCCGAGCCGCCCTTGCTCCCGGGTTAGTTGGGTGATGGTCTCCTTGCCAAGTTGTGTGAGCGCTTTGATGGACTGCGGCAGCGTGTGTGTATCTTGTAAGTGCATTTCTTCTTAAAATTTTTTTAATTAACACGTAGTTTCACCCTCTGAGTTTCTTAAAGATTTATTTGAAAGGCAGAGATACGAAGAGAGGGAGAGGGAGAGAGAAAGGGGACACAGAAATCTTGGTCTGCTGGCTCACTCTGCAGGCTGGAGCTGCGTTAGTTCGGTCTGGAGCCAGGAGCCTGGTGCCTTGTCCAGGTCTCCCATGGCGGTGCAGAGGCCAAGCACTGGAGCCATCTGCTGCTTTTCGAGGCTCAGCACCAGGGAGCTGGACCGGCAGTGGAGCAGCCGGGTCTTGAACTGGTGCTCAGATGGGTCTGTTGGCACTGCAGCTGGTGGCTTTACTTGCTGTGCCACGGTGCTGGCTCTGGAACTTTCCCCCTCAGATTTCTTTATTGACTTGAAAGGGCTACAGAGAGAAGGAAAGACGGAAAGCCACCCGCAGGGTCACTCCCCACAAGACCACAACCAGGAGCCAGAGCTGCTCTCGGACCTCGCGTGTGGGTCCGGGGCCTAAAGACGTAGCCATCTTGCCCTGCTCTCCCAGGCCCATTAGGAGCTGGGCTGGAGGCGAAGCAGGCGGGGTTCAGCTGGCGTGCCTGGAGTGCTGGTGCTGCGGCAGGGGCTTAAGGCGCTGCGCCACAGCCGGCCCCTGGACTGTTGAAGCTCATCTTGTGCAGTTGTTGGGGACCAGCGGGTGGCGCTGTCGGCTAGTGAGGCAGGTGGCCGCGACGGGCGGCTTTGGATGGCTGGGAGAGCCGGGGTCTCCTGCTGGGGAGGAGCCCTGGGAAGAGGAGTGCCCGCTGGGGGTCAGCTGTGGCGCCCTGGCCCTGCCCGCTGGCCTCTACCTTCTTGGCATTCTCAGAATTAGGTGTTTTTGTTTTAAGATTTGTTTATTTTCATTGATAAGACAGATTTACAGAGAGAAAAGATAAGACAGAAAGATCTTTCCTCTCTAGATGGCTTTGGGGTTGGCCCTGGCTCGCCCTGCCCACCCACGGTCATGCTGACCGCGCCCCCTGGGTCCCGGGGCGGTGGCATTGTGGGCAGAGCTGTCTGTGGTCAGCCTTGCTCACGGCAGGGACACGCGCCTCTTGTCATTCCGTCTGTTGCTCTGGGTGCAAAGCCCCGGCCCACCCCTCCAGAGTCTGGCTGTCCTCTGGCCTGTGGCCTGCCGCACCTGCCCTGCGGGTCCCTGCTTCTGGGTTGCCAACGCCCTGCCCAGGTCTGCCGGGGAAGTCTCCGGGGCAGGGCGCTCCGGGCTCTCCTGGAGGCTGACATGTGTGCATGCAGCAAAGGACTTGGGGCTCAGTGTCAGACAGTCTCGGAGGGTTGACGGTGCCCCACAGGCCGGGGCGGTCCCCTCCCAGTGCCTGGCCCCTGGCAGCGTTTGAGTCACTGTCCCCTCGTGTGGGCTCCGAGAGTGACGGGCTGCCGTGTGACCTGTGTCTGCCGTCTGTTCTTCCCGCTGCCCCGTGCTGGACCGTCTCACTTCTGTCCCACGTCTCCCGTGGCAGCGTGTGACAGCAGTGGATTGGAGCGGCTTTGGCTGGTCACGCCCGGAGAAGCCAGGCGTGCCAGGAAGTGCTGTCAAGCCGGGAAGCCACACGCCGGCCTGGCGCAGGTCAGCCGGAGGAACCTGCCAGCAACGGCCTTCGGAAACGTGGCTCCCCCTTCTTGTTTCTGTTTGCGCAGTGAAAGAATTTCTAGTTTGGCGGCCGTGGGGCCCCGTTCTCAGCGGGTGAGGACCTCGCCTTGGCAGGCCCGTCCCACCGGCACGTTAGGTCCTTGGAAAGGGCTTTGTGAAGGTGACATCATAGCTTTCATTCTGTCTGGTAATGGTTTTTCTACTTATTTTTACAGAATTAACCCTGAATCCTCCAGAAGGAATTGTGGCAGGTAAGATATAAAGTTTACTTCTTTATAGTTTACTTTTGATTGGCGAAGTTCCTTTGAAGTTACACTGTTCCGGGATTTTCTCTGCAGGCCCCATGAACGAAGAGAACTTCTTTGAATGGGAGGCGTTGATCATGTGAGTCCGCGCTGCTTCCCAGATCTTCCCGTGTGGCAGTGACGCAGCTGTGTGGGCGAGGCCACGCTGTGCTCTCTCCCGAGTATGCTGTGGGCAGAGCTGCCTCAGAGTCCGTGTTGCATGAGTGGAGGATTTAAAAATGACACGTGGGTCAGTCGTCCACAACCTGGCCGCCCCGGACTGCTGGCACCCCCTGCGTGTCTGGGACAAGGCCAGCGCTCAGGCCGTGCTCACAGGCCCTAAGCCTTCTCTCTGGCACTTCTCCTTCCCCTGCTTGGATGCATGGGGCTTGGGGCCACAACGTGGGCCCTGACCCCTTCTGAGCTCCCAGCACTGGTCCTCCACTGACACCCACATTGCCTGGGGAGAGAGCAGCTGTGCCCTGGGATCTTGAGTGTTCTGTGACCCTGCTCGGCCCTGCTGAGCCCTGCCCGGCCCTACTGAGCCCTTCCTGGCCCTGCTGAGCTCTGCCCGGCCCTGCTGAGCCCTGCCTGGCCCTGCTGAGCCCTGCCCGGCCCTGCTGAGCCCTGCCTGGCCCTGCTGAGCCCTGCCCGGCCCTGCCCGGCCCTGCCCAGTCCTGCCTGGCCCCGCCCAGCTCTGCCCGGCCCTGCTGAGCCCTGCCTGGCCCTGCTCGGCCCTGCCCAACCCTGCCTAGCCCTGCTGAGCCCTGCCCGGCCCTGCTGAGTTGAGCTTTGCCCGGCTCTGCCCGGCCCTGCTGAGCCCTGTCTGGCCCTGCTCGGCCTTGCCCAGCCCTGCCCGGCCCTGCTGAGCCCTGCCCAGCTCTGCCCGGCCCTGCCCAGCCATGCCCGGCCCTGCTGAGCCCTGCCTGGCCCTGCCCGGCCCTGCTGAGCCCTGCCCGGCCCTGCCCAGCCCTGCCCGGCCCCGCCCAGCTCTGCCCAGCCCTGCTGAGCCCTGCCTGGCCCTGCTCGGCCCTGCCCAACCCTGCCTAGCCCTGCTGAGCCCTGCCCGGCCCTGCCCAGCCCTGCCCGGCCCTGCCCGGCCCTGCCTCAGTGTCTGCCCTGCAGCTATACCATGTTTCCAACAACACTTGGTGGCAGCAGCTGTGAGCTCTCGGGGCTCCCTGTGAACTGGGATTCTCTGGCAGCCTGGGGAGGCGTTCTGGTGGAGACGCTGTGGTGAGCGGGGTGCAGGGGAGAGGCCGTGCCCCGTGTAGCCCAGCTCAGGGAGTCTGACCTCCTCGTGCATTCAGAATTCTTCCTGACAGCCTGAGAAGCACCTCGCTAGGGAGTTAGATAATGTGTGAAAATTGATGGAAGGATGAGGAATGTTTTTAATCAACAAAAAAATTGTTCATTGTAATGAAATTTAATGAAGCCCTTTCCGACAGCGCAGCCCACCTCCCAGTCCCTGCCGCCTCCTGGCCTGCTGGTGGCTTGGGCTTAGCGTCCGTGTCTTCCCAGGTCTCAACGCTCTGGAACGTGTGTGTGTGTGTGTCCTGCCCTGCCAGGGAGTGCCTGCGTGTGTGTGTGTGTGTGTGTGTGCGCGCGCGCGCGCGCGCGCACCCCCCCCCCCCCCCCCGCCCCAGCCTGCCCTGCCAGGGAGTGCCTGCGGCTGCAGACGGCAGCAGGAGCTCTGCGGTGTGCAACACGCGCACGGCCCCGTGCTCTGTGCGTGCCCGTGACGGCGCCGTGGCAAGGACCTGAAAACCCAAGGGCCTTTGGAGGTCTCGACATACCAGCAGTCATAAAAAACTAATTTGGAATTTAACATTTGTACATCAAAGTAAATTTTTTTCTAAGGATTTATTCATTTTTATTGTTAAGTCAGATAAACAGAGGAGGAGAGACAGAGAGGAAGAGCTTCCGTCCACTGATTCACTCCCCAAGCAGTTGCAATGGCTGGAGCTAAGCCGATCAGGAGCCAGGAGCCTTTTCTAGGTTTCCCATGTGGGTGCAGGGAGCCAAGGTTTTGGGCCGTCCTCCACTGCTTTCCCAGGCCACAAGCAGGGAGCTGGATGGGAAGTGGGGTCACTGGGATTAGAACTGGCGCCCCTGTGGGACGCTGGTGTGTGCTAGGCGAGGACTTTAGCTGCTAGGCTACCACGCTGGGCCCCAAAGTAAACTTCTTGCTCTATTTCCAGGAACTTTTTAAAGTACCTTGTAAAATTTAATTTATAAACTAGGCCCAGTGCAGGATAAGCAATCTATAATAGAAAGATGGAACAGTTGTAACGCTATGTGGAGTGGTACTAAAACCACTTACTTGTGGAGTTTTCTATTCAGTACTGTCGGGCTGCGGTTGCCTGTGGCTCAGGGAGCTGCAGTACTCACAGCTGGGTCACAGTGGCGTGCCAATGCTGTGCTGCAGCCCGGCGTGGCAGCTCACCCCACAGTTCTAGAGCAGTGGGTGGTTTCCTTGGACTAGACTATGGCCTGCGTGTGCCAGCACAGGCTCACCTGCCGTGTCCCCACGCCACCTGGGCGGCTGGGCTGTGCGTGCAGGGCTGGCTGCGGTGCCGAGCCGGAGCACAGGCCTGTGGCGGCCGCAGGGACGTGTGCGGCAGCTCGGTACAGGAACAGTTGAGCCCTGCCGTGTTCTCCCAGAAATCTGTTAGGGTGACTGTTGCTGATTTTAGATAAACAGTGTAAAATTAAACCAATATTTTAAAAGCCTGTCTTAAAAGTGATTAGAATTGTTGGCAAGTAGAGCATGTGTGTTTGAATAAGACTTTGCATCAGCGAGGAATTCCCCTGCTTCAGGACCTGGTGAGTTTGTGGGTTTTGGTCCCGTTCCAGACCCTTCACAAACAAGAGGCCATTTACACATGTGCTCGAAACCCCCATCAGGGAATTAACTGTCCTCTGCCGATTGGTCGCGCCTCCTGGCCCAGCAGACAGCTGGCGGCCGTCACGTTCGGCAGGGCTTCTGGTCTTGCTGCTTGCAGGGCCCTCGGCTGCCGGCTCTGTGCAGGTGCAGCCCCAGGCCCACGGGGGAAAGTGCTGCTGAGTCTCGGCCGCGCCTCTGGTGGCGCTGGGTTTGGGCTGTGTGACCCTGTAGCTCCATGTCACTGTCACGGTGAGGCCCTGGCTTGTCCTCTCTGGTTTCCTCTTTTTGGACTCAGGGCAGAGAGACATAGCATCCTTGAGACAGAGGGTCCCAGGTTCTGCCCCGAGGGACCCCGTGGCCGCAGCTGCACTGTTGGGGTCCGGCTGCAGCACACTGCTGCCCTGGGCTGCCTGCTCCTCCGCCTGTCCAGGGTTGCAGAAGGAGCTGGCGTGGCTGCTGACCAGAGGCTGCAGGGCTGGGACCCTCCCCTGGGCTGCGCCTGTGTGTCTGAGAAAGGAACATGTCCGAAAGGGTGCCTGGGTGGGTGACATGGCCGCGGGAGTCCTGTGGGCCAGGACTGCTTGCATGCCGAGATGTGTCATAGGACGCCTCTGCTTGTGCCATGTCCTTCGCAACATCAGCTGTCCCGGGCTCCCAGCAGGTGCTTTGGGGGAGGGCTGCAGAGCGCTGTGAGTCAGGAACCTCACCTCGCTGCCAGCACCCAGACGGGGCTGAGGCTCTGCTGCTGTGGGCACACTGGTGGGCGCAGGCGGTGCTGGGGACCATGCTTTCCACCACGGGGCAGTGCCTGGAGTCACTTCCAGCTCTCACCATTGTCACGGTGTCTTCTGGCCATCTGCTCAGTAAAGTGACCGTGCCCATAGGCTGCATGGCCCCTGCGGACAGGAGTGGGAGAGGGCTGAATGCAACATGGCACACGGTGCCATGTCTGAACTTGGCAGCAGCTCCATTGAGAGGAAATTGGTGTCTTGTAGGGTTTCCCTGTATTAGGGTACAAGTTGGTGGCCCCAGGAGACTTCAGGCGAGTTGTAGCCATTGCCACGGTCCTGCATTGGCCCGTTCCCATGAGGTCTTCGTGCTGTTTGTGGTTGGTCCCCTTTGCACCCTAGCTCTGAGTTCTGGGTGCAGGCCTGCCTTCCTGGGCGTGGCTGGGAGTGGAGTCTGGAATCCGCAGCGTCCTGTGTGTGTGTGTGTTAGAATGCTTCGGTGTGTGTCTGCATGTCCTGGTGTGTGTGCTCTGTGTTCAATGCCTCAGTGTGTGTCAGTGTGTTAGCAAGCCAAAGTGTGTGTCAGCGTTAAAATGGCTCAATGTGTGTCAGCATGTCTGTGTCGGTGTCTCAGTGTGTGTCAGCGTGTATGTTGTGTGTCGTCTCTGTGTCTGTACGTGTCAGCATGTGTGTCAGTGTCTGTACGTGGGTCTCAGTGTGGGTGTGCGTGTGCAGATGTGCGTTGGTTTTCTGTCTGTCCGGCACTTGTGTGCATGCACCTGCTCTGGTGTGAAGCCCTTGTGTGGGCTGCATTCCCAGGGACTGGCGACACGCGTGTCTGTGGGCCTGGCGAGCCTCCCCGCAGAGGCCCAGGTCCGCCTGGCCTGGGCGGCCCTCCCCGGGGCCCGATGCCCTGATCGGTCAGCGACCCGCGTCCCTTACAGTGGTGGAGCTTTTCCTGGAGCGCAGTTTTCCTGTTTGCTTTCTAAGACATCCTGTGGGTTTTTGATGAAGTGTATGTGTAATCATGGATCACGCTCTTCTTGTGTATAACGCGTGTTACTAAGGTTTCCTTTGAGCACTGGGGTGGTTTCTGGCCCCTTCCCTGAGGTCAGCGATTTGTCAGACTCGGGTTCTGTGGGATCAGGTAGCCATCCCAGGGTCCCCGGGCTCAGCACTCACTAGTCAGGGCACCTTGAGGGACCCGCGCGGTGTGTCTGACACTGTGATCTGTCCTGTGTGGGTAGGTGGCCGTGGAGTGGGTTCCTCTCTGGTTCTGTCCTGTGTGTGGGTAGCAGGGCTGGGCTGTGACATCACCCTGTTCCTGCACCGCCTGCTGGGACCTGCTGCTCTGTCTGCTCCTGCTCAAATCCCACGAGCGGCGGGACGGGCAGTTCTTTGAGTTCACCTCCTGAGCTCCCGGTGTGCGCCCTTCCCGCCTGGCTGCCGGTGGGGTTCAGATGGCTGCTGGCTGAGTGCCGCTGGCGTGTCGGTCACTGTAGCAGCATGCCGCCATGTCCTGCTGTGTCCTTTCCTGTGTCTGTTGCGACGGACCGGCTCGGCCGGGAGCAGTCAGTCTGATGGGAACAGGACCCCGGGAACGGTGGGCAAGGATTCGGCGAGTGACAAACAGTCATGACAACTCAAGGAAGTTGTATCTGAGTGCATTTTGCAAAAGCAAGGCATCAGCTTATATACAATAGATGATTGCAAAGGGACATTTTCCTTGTTTATACATGTGGTTACATTTCTAGAAGCAATTATTCCAGGGAGGTAAGCAGGTGTGTTGAGCAAAGATTGTTCTTGAACAGCCTGGTGACAGACTGCGGTTGCTATTTCTTGTGGACGCAGTTTGGCACCATTTGACTTTTAATCATTAAGCAGTTAGCTCTCATTGTGTTTTGTGCCTTATATTGGTTTTAATATTAACTTGCCTATATTTCTAGTTTTTCTTCCTGTATGGCTTTTTAAGCTATAGATTTCTACTATAATCTTCTTTTTAGGAATTCTCAAAAATAGTCCCAGGTAGGTTTTTATTCTGTACTGCTTGTTGTCCTTGTCGTCTCCTGTCAGAAGGCTTCATAGAACTATAAAGGAACATTGAGCCTTTGCTGCACATAAATAGTATTATTCCAGTCACAAAGATAAGAGCAAAGAGAGTACAGGTAGGAACGCCGAGACCACTAGAGCTGCAGCCGAGTCCAGGAGGCATCCTTCCTTGAAGCTTCCGCCTCGGCCGGGTGATTTCTCACGCAGGCTCCACTGGAGGTGACGTGGCAGGCTGTCAGTCTCCAGGTGCCCCTCTGCTGCTCTCCTGTTCCTGGGCTCTGCCCTCTGCTGCTCTCCTGTTCCTGGGCTCTGCCCTCTGCTGCTCTCCTGTTCCCGGGCTCTGCCCTCTGCTGCTCTGCTGTTCCTGGGCTCTGCCCTCCGCTGGCTGAGGTGCCTCCGTCTGTTGAAACATGTCCTCACCTATTATTCCACCATCTTGATTCTTTTTTTTTTTAAAGATTTATTCTTATTATTTTTTCATTGGAAAGGCGGATATACAGAGAGGAGAGACAGAGAGGAAGATTTTCCGTCCGATGATTCACTCCCCAAGTGAGCGCAACGGTCGATGCTATGCCGGTCCGAAGCCAGGAGCCTCTTCCGGGTCTCCCACGCGGGTGCAGGGTCCCAAAGCTTTGGGCCGTCCTCGACTGCTTTCCCAGGCCACAGGCAGGGAGCTGGAAGGGAAGCGGGGCTGCCGGGATAGAACCGGCGCCCATATGTGATCCCGGGCGTGCAAGGCGAGGACCTTAACCACTGCGCCACTGCGCCGGGCCCTCCACCATCTTGATTCTATCCGATGAGCTTGTTTAATGCACTTGAGATTCAGTTGAAGGACATTCTGGTAGAAATGGCCGTTTTACCAGAATGGGTCCTGGCTGTATACTCCTGGAGGAGGGATTGAGTCCTGAGCGTAACCCTTTGTAGCCAAGCCTGGGTTTATCGTTTCCTCAGGCGGACAAGGGTCACTTGGCTTCCACTGTCCTTAGCGTGGGTCCTCGCATGAGTCTCGGGCTGCCCAGAACACAGCAGATGCCCTGGGGGAGCGGGTTCACCCAGAGGTGCTGCCTGCAGCCAAGGCTCCGAGGGCCAGTGCCCTTTGTGCCTGCGCAGGAGTCAGGTTCCCTAGATGGGGACCCGCTTCTTGTGGGTAGCCAGCTCCCAGACCCAAGGGCTTGTCTGCCCCTTGGCTTGCTCTGCAGGGAGAAGGGTTCGAAGCCAGGACAAGCAGCGTCTTCCCAGGGCTCAGGGCGGTCAGCTGTCCTTTTGGCCTTGGTCGGTGCCTCCCAGGAACAGGTACTGCAAGGCACATCAGCCCTGCAGGCCAGCCAGTGAGCTGAGTGAAGCCGTGCTCAGAGGAGTGAGCTCGCCAGGAGTGCAGCTGACCCTGTCGGAAGCGGGCCTGACCCTGGCCCAGGCCCCGGCCTGCTGGAAGGATTCGTCCTTTGTTGTTCTCAGCCAACAAACACGCCACCAGACACCGTGGGCAGCTGCCCGCTTGCTGCAGCCCCTGGCTGCAGTGATGGAAGTGTGGGCGTGGGAGTGTGGCCAGGTGCAGCTTGTTTGGTTAGGTGCAGTAGGGCTGTCACTGAGGCCTGGGTTCATTTCCTCTGCTAGGCACAGAGGCCTGGGGCCTGAGTCAGCCTTCTGCACTGGCTCTGACCCTGACGGCGCCGCGCCGCTTGGGGGCCTCGGCTGGACCTGGCCCTGCCTGCCCCTCAGAGGGAAGTGGGGAGCACGGGGTGGGATCCGGGGCCCCACACGAGCTCTGCTCTGGTTGGAGGCAGCTCCCAGCCTGTGCAAAGCTGGAGCAGAAGACTGCAGGCACCCGTCGTGGGTTGCAGGGAGAGCCCAGGGCTGTCCTGTGCCAGCGGCTAGATTTGTCCTGTCCTGGTTTCCAGCTGGGGCTCTGTCCCCAGCAGCTTTCACCCTTCCAACAGAAGAGCACGGACGCTGCCAGGCCTATGGCAGGAAGTCAGATATACAGAGAGGAGGAGAGATAGATCTATCCGCTGATTCACTCCCCAAGTGGTCGCAACAGCCGGAGCTGAGCTGATCCGAAGCTGGGAGCCCGGAGCCTCTTCTGGGTCTCCCACATGGGTGCAGGGTCCCAAGGCCACAGGCAGGGAGCTGGATGGGAAGTGGGGCTGCTGGATTAGAACCGGTGCCCATATGGGATTTTTAGTGTGTGTAGCCACTAGGCTGCTGCGACAGGTCCTTTCCATACTTTGTTGGTGCGGCAGCCTTGCCACAGACCTGCGTCCTTCAGGGTCCTGAGACCGCCCAGCACACGAGGTGACAGCTGTCTCTTGGCTGCTTGTACTTTCTCCTTTTGATCTTTACAAAGCCACGTTTTTAGTCCCAGAACCAAGACAGTTTTAAGATTTAAAACACACTTTTTTTTAATACATGAAGGTTTATTTATTTGAAAGGCAGAGTTAGAGAAGGAAAGACAGAAGCAGGGAGCTTCTGTCCACTGGTTCACTCCCCTGTTGGCCACAGTGGCTCAGGCAGGGCCAGTCCGAGACCTCTCCTCCCACGCAGGTGCAGGGGTCCAGCGCTTGGGCCGCCGTCCTCTGCTTTCCCAGGCCACAGGCAGGGAGCTGGATGGGAAGTGGAGCAGCCAGGACTTGACTGGGCGCCCCTGGGATGTTAGTTCTGCGGGCGGTGGCTTAAGCTGCTACACCACAGTGCCAGCTCCCACATAGGCACTTTCTGGGTATCTTTTTGGGGGCCAGAGTTGTGGCATAGTAGGTTAAGCCACCGCCTAGAGGCTAGCATCCCACTCAGTGGTGCTGCACTCTCACTTGGCTCCCACAGGGGAGACAGGCTGGTGACCATCATCCACCTCTACCCCTTTCTGTGCTGCTCAGGGCTGCTGCCAGGGAGCCATGTGTGTGCCTGTGTGTGCCTGGGGCTGTGGGTGGTGGCTGTGTGTGCATGGGGCTGTGGGTGGTGGCTGTGCAGGTGGTGGCTGTGTGTGCCTGGGGCTGTGGGTGGTGGCTGTGTGTGCCTGGGGCTGTGGGTGGTGGCTGTGTGTGCATGGGGCTGTGGGTGGTGGCTGTGCAGGTGGTGGCTGTGTGTGCGTGGGGCTGTGGGTGGTGGCTGTGTGTGCGTGGGGCTGTGGGTGGTGGCTGTGGGGCAGTCACGTCCTGCACACCTTTTAAATGCAGTGCTGAGCTCCTCACTTAGGGAAGTGGAGGAAGTGTTGCTTTGATGTGTTGTGATGCACACTTGACCCTGAATGCACATTACACAGACAGAGTCCCTGGGTTATTGCAATCATGGCCCCAATTCTCTGATCCTGTTATCACAAAGCAGTTCTGCTGGTTGATTTTTAACAATCGACTTAAAACATTTTAAAAATTTGAGAATCAGGGAGCCAGGCTACCTATGGCCACTCGTTTGCTTCCCAGCTGCCTGCAGTGAACCAGGGCATGGGTGCCAGTACCTAGATGCTGGGGTCAGTGTCCCGGCTGATGTCCTAAGCATGAGAACCAAAGTCTACCCTGGAACTAAAGTTATAACTAGATTAAAGTGGGAGAAATACACTTTGCAGTAAGAGAAAAACATTACTTGGCTTTAAATTTACTCTTCTGCTGTTACAGTCCAGCAGATCCCCGAGTTCTGAGTTGATCTGTTCTGTCTCGTGTTGTCTCCTCCAGGGGCCCAGAAGACACCTGCTTTGAATTTGGAGTTTTTCCTGCCATCCTGAGTTTCCCTCTTGATTATCCGTTAAGCCCCCCGAAGATGAGATTCACCTGTGAGATGTTTCACCCCAACAGTAAGTGCTCTTGGAGTTGTCAGTTTCAGTTTAACATCAAGAAGTGTGAGCTTACATATCGATGCAGTTGCTCACTGCAGCCATGCTAGGTGTCTGTTAGAAAGAGTGTTGTGCACAAGCTGGTTGCCAAGGTGTGTGAATGCAGGTGTGTGTGAGCACAGGGCAGGTGTGTGAGCACAGAGCAGGTGTGTGTGTGAGCACAGAGCAGGTGTGTGTGAGCACAGAGCAGGTGTGTGTGTGAGCACAGAGCAGGTGTGTGTGTGAGCACAGAGCAGGTGTGTGTGTGAGCACAGAGCAGGTGTGTGTGTGAGCACAGAGCAGGTGTGTGTGAGCACAGAGCAGGTGTGTGTGTGTGAGCACAGAGCAGGTGTGTGTGTGAGCACAGAGCAGGTGTGTGTGTGAGCACAGAGCAGGTGTGTGTGTGAGCACAGAGCAGGTGTGTGTGTGTGCACAGAGCAGGTGTGTGTGTGAGCACAGAGCAGGTGTGTGTGTGTGCACAGAGCAGGTGTGTGTGTGAGCACAGAGCAGGTGTGTGTGTGAGCACAGAGCAGGTGTGTGTGTGAGCACAGAGCAGGTGTGTGTGTGAGCACAGAGCAGGTGTGTGTGTGAGCACAGAGCAGGTGTGTGTGTGAGCACAGAGCAGGTGTGTGTGTGAGCACAGAGCAGGTGTGTGTGTGAGCACAGAGCAGGTGTGTGTGTGAGCACAGAGCAGGTGTGTGTGTGAGCACAGAGCAGGTGTGTGTGTGAGCACAGAGCAGGTGTGTGTGTGAGCACAGAGCAGGTGTGTGTGTGAGCACAGAGCAGGTGTGTGTGTGTGCACAGAGCAGGTGTGTGTGTGAGCACAGAGCAGGTGTGTGTGTGAGCACAGAGCAGGTGTGTGTGTGAGCACAGAGCAGGTGTGTGTGTGTGAGCACAGAGCAGGTGTGTGTGTGAGCACAGAGCAGGTGTGTGTGTGAGCACAGAGCAGGTGTGTGTGTGAGCACAGAGCAGGTGTGTGTGTGTGCACAGAGCAGGTGTGTGTGTGTGCACAGAGCAGGTGTGTGTGTGTGAGCACAGAGCAGGTGTGTGTGTGAGCACAGAGCAGGTGTGTGTGTGAGCACAGAGCAGGTGTGTGTGTGAGCACAGAGCAGGTGTGTGTGTGAGCACAGAGCAGGTGTGTGTGTGTGCACAGAGCAGGTGTGTGTGTGAGCACAGAGCAGGTGTGTGTGTGTGCACAGAGCAGGTGTGTGTGTGTGAGCACAGAGCAGGTGTGTGTGTGAGCACAGAGCAGGTGTGTGTGTGAGCACAGAGCAGGTGTGTGTGTGAGCACAGAGCAGGTGTGTGTGTGTGCACAGAGCAGGTGTGTGTGTGTGTGCACAGAGCAGGTGTGTGTGTGAGCACAGAGCAGGTGTGTGTGTGAGCACAGAGCAGGTGTGTGTGTGAGCACAGAGCAGGTGTGTGTGTGAGCACAGAGCAGGTGTGTGTGTGTGCACAGAGCAGGTGTGTGTGTGAGCACAGAGCAGGTGTGTGTGTGAGCACAGAGCAGGTGTGTGTGTGAGCACAGAGCAGGTGTGTGTGTGAGCACAGAGCAGGTGTGTGTGTGAGCACAGAGCAGGTGTGTGTGTGAGCACAGAGCAGGTGTGTGTGTGAGCACAGAGCAGGTGTGTGTGTGAGCACAGAGCAGGTGTGTGTGTGTGCACAGAGCAGGTGTGTGTGTGTGAGCACAGAGCAGGTGTGTGTGTGAGCACAGAGCAGGTGTGTGTGTGAGCACAGAGCAGGTGTGTGTGTGTGAGCACAGAGCAGGTGTGTGTGTGTGCACAGAGCAGGTGTGTGTGTGTGAGCACAGAGCAGGTGTGTGTGTGAGCACAGAGCAGGTGTGTGTGTGAGCACAGAGCAGGTGTGTGTGTGAGCACAGAGCAGGTGTGTGTGTGTGAGCACAGAGCAGGTGTGTGTGTGAGCACAGAGCAGGTGTGTGTGTGAGCACAGAGCAGGTGTGTGTGAGCACAGAGCAGGTGTGTGTGTGTGAGCACAGAGCAGGTGTGTGTGTGAGCACAGAGCAGGTGTGTGTGTGTGAGCACAGAGCAGGTGTGTGTGTGAGCACAGAGCAGGTGTGTGTGTGAGCACAGAGCAGGTGTGTGTGTGTGAGCACAGAGCAGGTGTGTGTGTGAGCACAGAGCAGGTGTGTGTGTGAGCACAGAGCAGGTGTGTGTGTGAGCACAGAGCAGGTGTGTGTGTGAGCACAGAGCAGGTGTGTGTGTGAGCACAGAGCAGGTGTGTGTGTGAGCACAGAGCAGGTGTGTGTGTGAGCACAGAGCAGGTGTGTGTGTGAGCACAGAGCAGGTGTGTGTGTGAGCACAGAGCAGGTGTGTGTGAGCACAGAGCAGGTGTGTGTGTGAGCACAGAGCAGGTGTGTGTGTGTGCACAGAGCAGGTGTGTGAGCACAGAGCAGGTGTGTGTGTGTGCACAGAGCAGGTGTGTGTGTGAGCACAGAGCAGGTGTGTGTGTGAGCACAGAGCAGGTGTGTGTGTGTGAGCACAGAGCAGGTGTGTGTGTGAGCACAGAGCAGGTGTGTGTGTGTGCACAGAGCAGGTGTGTGTGTGAGCACAGAGCAGGTGTGTGTGTGAGCACAGAGCAGGTGTGTGTGTGAGCACAGAGCAGGTGTGTGTGTGAGCACAGAGCAGGTGTGTGTGTGTGCACAGAGCAGGTGTGTGTGTGAGCACAGAGCAGGTGTATGTGTGAGCACAGAGCAGGTGTGTGTGTGAGCACAGAGCAGGTGTGTGTGTGAGCACAGAGCAGGTGTGTGTGTGAGCACAGAGCAGGTGTGTGTGTGAGCACAGAGCAGGTGTGTGTGTGTGAGCACAGAGCAGGTGTGTGTGTGAGCACAGAGCAGGTGTGTGTGTGAGCACAGAGCAGGTGTGTGTGTGAGCACAGAGCAGGTGTGTGTGTGAGCACAGAGCAGGTGTGTGTGTGAGCACAGAGCAGGTGTGTGTGTGAGCACAGAGCAGGTGTGTGTGTGTGCACAGAGCAGGTGTGTGTGTGTGCACAGAGCAGGTGTGTGTGTGAGCACAGAGCAGGTGTGTGTGTGTGCACAGAGCAGGTGTGTGTGTGAGCACAGAGCAGGTGTGTGTGTGTGCACAGAGCAGGTGTGTGTGTGTGCACAGAGCAGGTGTGTGTGTGAGCACAGAGCAGGTGTGTGTGTGAGCACAGAGCAGGTGTGTGTGTGTGCACAGAGCAGGTGTGTGTGTGAGCACAGAGCAGGTGTGTGTGTGAGCACAGAGCAGGTGTGTGTGTGTGCACAGAGCAGGTGTGTGTGTGAGCACAGAGCAGGTGTGTGTGTGTGAGCACAGAGCAGGTGTGTGTGTGAGCACAGAGCAGGTGTGTGTGAGCACAGAGCAGGTGTGTGTGAGCACAGAGCAGGTGTGTGTGTGAGCACAGAGCAGGTGTGTGTGTGAGCACAGAGCAGGTGTGTGTGAGCACAGAGCAGGTGTGTGTGTGAGCACAGAGCAGGTGTGTGTGTGAGCACAGAGCAGGTGTGTGTGTGAGCACAGAGCAGGTGTGTGTGTGTGCACAGAGCAGGTGTGTGTGTGAGCACAGAGCAGGTGTGTGTGTGAGCACAGAGCAGGTGTGTGTGAGCACAGAGCAGGTGTGTGTGTGCACAGAGCAGGTGTGTGTGTGTGCACAGAGCAGGTGTGTGTGTGTGAGCACAGAGCAGGTGTGTGTGTGAGCACAGAGCAGGTGTGTGTGTGAGCACAGAGCAGGTGTGTGTGTGAGCACAGAGCAGGTGTGTGTGTGTGCACAGAGCAGGTGTGTGTGTGTGCACAGAGCAGGTGTGTGTGTGAGCACAGAGCAGGTGTGTGTGTGAGCACAGAGCAGGTGTGTGTGTGTGAGCACAGAGCAGGTGTGTGTGTGAGCACAGAGCAGGTGTGTGTGTGTGAGCACAGAGCAGGTGTGTGTGAGCACAGAGCAGGTGTGTGTGTGAGCACAGAGCAGGTGTGTGTGTGAGCACAGAGCAGGTGTGTGTGTGTGCACAGAGCAGGTGTGTGTGTGTGAGCACAGAGCAGGTGTGTGTGTGTGCACAGAGCAGGTGTGTGTGTGAGCACAGAGCAGGTGTGTGTGTGTGCACAGAGCAGGTGTGTGTGTGTGCACAGAGCAGGTGTGTGTGTGAGCACAGAGCAGGTGTGTGTGTGAGCACAGAGCAGGTGTGTGTGTGAGCACAGAGCAGGTGTGTGTGTGTGCACAGAGCAGGTGTGTGTGTGTGAGCACAGAGCAGGTGTGTGTGTGAGCACAGAGCAGGTGTGTGTGTGTGTGCACAGAGCAGGTGTGTGTGTGAGCACAGAGCAGGTGTGTGTGTGTGCACAGAGCAGGTGTGTGTGTGAGCACAGAGCAGGTGTGTGTGTGAGCACAGAGCAGGTGTGTGTGTGAGCACAGAGCAGGTGTGTGTGTGAGCACAGAGCAGGTGTGTGTGTGAGCACAGAGCAGGTGTGTGTGTGAGCACAGAGCAGGTGTGTGTGTGAGCACAGAGCAGGTGTGTGTGTGAGCACAGAGCAGGTGTGTGTGTGTGAGCACAGAGCAGGTGTGTGTGAGCACAGAGCAGGTGTGTGTGTGAGCACAGAGCAGGTGTGTGTGTGTGCACAGAGCAGGTGTGTGTGTGAGCACAGAGCAGGTGTGTGTGTGAGCACAGAGCAGGTGTGTGTGTGAGCACAGAGCAGGTGTGTGTGTGTGCACAGAGCAGGTGTGTGTGTGAGCACAGAGCAGGTGTGTGTGAGCACAGAGCAGGTGTGTGTGTGTGCACAGAGCAGGTGTGTGTGTGAGCACAGAGCAGGTGTGTGTGTGAGCACAGAGCAGGTGTGTGTGTGAGCACAGAGCAGGTGTGTGTGTGTGAGCACAGAGCAGGTGTGTGTGTGAGCACAGAGCAGGTGTGTGTGTGAGCACAGAGCAGGTGTGTGTGTGAGCACAGAGCAGGTGTGTGTGTGAGCACAGAGCAGGTGTGTGTGTGAGCACAGAGCAGGTGTATGTGTGAGCACAGAGCAGGTGTGTGTGTGAGCACAGAGCAGGTGTGTGAGCACAGAGCAGGTGTGTGTGTGTGAGCACAGAGCAGGTGTGTGTGTGTGCACAGAGCAGGTGTGTGTGTGAGCACAGAGCAGGTGTGTGTGTGAGCACAGAGCAGGTGTGTGTGTGTGCACAGAGCAGGTGTGTGTGTGTGAGCACAGAGCAGGTGTGTGTGTGAGCACAGAGCAGGTGTGTGTTAGCACAGAGCAGGTGTGTGAGCACAGAGCAGCTTCATCCGTTTGCTGTGTGCTGCTGTTACTGGTGGACGTTCGGTCAGCCCAGCTGGCAGCAGTAGAGTGGTGCTCCCGTCTGTAGATCGGGAAGTGCTTGCCGACAGGCAGTGTTGTTTGTGCATGTTGAGTCTGTTGAGCAAACTGCTGCTTAGTCGGGCAGTCATGGCGTTGTTGAAGCATCTCAGGTGTAAATTAGCTGGAAAGATAATCACAGAAGTGATGCACTGGTGCCCGGAGCCTCTGATAACACGCGTGGACTACCATGTTGGGGAGATAGCCGAAGTTTATTAGTGACATCAGGGTTTTTTTAAGATTTATTTTATTTTATTGCAAAGTCAGATGTATATAGAGAGGAAGAGAGACAGATTATTCACTCCCCAAGTGACCGCAATGGCCAGTGCTGCGCTGATCTGAAGCCAGGAGCCAGGAACTTCTTCCAGGTCTTTCATGCGGTGCAGGGTCCCAAGGCTTTGGGCCATCCCAGGGAGCTTTCCCAGGGATGTGACTGCTTTCCCAGGTCACAATCAGGGAGCTGGATGGGAAGCGGGGCTGCTAAGATTGGAACTGGTGCCCAGATGGGATCCTGGCATGTTCAAGGCAAGGACTTTAGCTGCTAGGCCACTGTGCTGGGCCCGGCATCAGGCTTTTATAGACTGAGGCTCACACAGGATGAGGAGGAGGTATTGAGGCGCTTATGTGGTTCCCATAAGCCTTTCTATGGAACCCATCAACTGTTTCCACACCCTTGTTAGAAACTGTCCTTTGTTTTGTGTGTCCAATCAGGTGTCCTCATTCAAATGATTTCCTATCGCCATCCTATGCCTGTTCTCCTGTGAGTCAGTGTCCCACTGCAAATCCCCTTTCTGTGTGTTGTAAGTCAGGCCTCAAAGATGTAGCTATGGAGAACATGCCCTTGGAAGAGCAGAAAATGGGGAGACGCAATATTATATTATACAAAGATGACGTCACCAGGGACCGCAGACCCTAGCTGCCCATTATCCCATCTGACTCCTCAGCATCCTTTTTCCAGGAGAATGAACCCTGGCTGCTGTCAGGAATGGGGGCTGACGACCGCTCTGGCTGCTTCCTGCTGAAAAGGGGCGGAGAGAGGGGCCACATCGCCGGGCATGCTCTAGGGAATACATCTGGGGGCCCCTGGGGGACGCAGAAAATAATGGTGAGAATCTCCCAAGCTAGATGTGAAAGATGCCAGGTTTAAATCTTTGCCAGAGTAAACATGAGCCCTGAACATCTTAGTTTGATTTATAAACAACCAACTCAATAGAGGCAACAAAACACTTGAAGCTCTCTTGAACTGTACGATTAGTAGCCTAAGTCACAGTGGCACAGGAGCAGTGAGGGGGTCAGCACTGACCTCAGGCTCTTAGCCCGTCGTCTCTAACAGTTCAAAGCAAGTTTAACATCAGAGTTTCTATGCACTTACGTCTTGTGTAGCACTAACAGTTTTTAATTGGTAAAACTTTTTTAGGGAGAATCTTAACCCATAATAATTTAAACTTTGCAGTTTATAGTATTCAAGCAAGGTTTTACAGAACTTTGTGTATTTTAGGATAATCAAAACAGTGTATAATTCTAACAAGCCATAAATTAACAATTGAAGAATAGAAAAGTCTTCGGCAGGTGCGCAGGGAAATCTCCAATAACTGAACTCTGCAAATAGGGAGCTGAGCAGTAAGTGCAGGCTGAGCGATTCTAAGCTAGCTGGCCTTTTTCCTGCCTGTTCCACATTTCTATACTAGGTTCTCTCTGTCTGAGCTAATTTTGGGGCCTGAGTGACCCTGATGGTCAGTGTAAGAGAGGACTGGGAGCCGAAGCTGGAACCGAGTGAGGACCAGAGAAAGCTCCTCTCCCGAGTCCCGAAGGAAGTTAGGATCTTTTTATCTGTGAGAAGCACCCGGGCTCCTGGCTGTTGTTCTGAGCTCACCAGACCCTGGTTGTCTTTCCCGTCTTGTAGATCTCTGTTCTCCCCCTAACTTAAACGTTTTGCTAACTCTTTAGAAGAACCAGCAGGAGCTCTGGGCAGTGGGCAGGGCAGGGATGAGGACAGGCGCCTGGGCCTGTTCCCAGGATGTGTGAAGCTCTCACCACAAGGTGCACCAGAAAGGCCCAGTCGGGTCCACTACGTGGGCCCCTGGCAGCTGAGGAAGCAACTGCAGGTGCTCCAGCCTCGAGCAGGCTGGCCTTGTAGTGGCTGTCTCACTAGGCGGTGCCCGTGATGACTGCTGTCGGACCACGCCACTTCGTGTGCCTCCTCCCGTCCTCGGGGACGCCACGGGGCCTGGCTGTGGCCTCGCCAAGCTGGGGATTGATGGGTTGGGGTGGCCAAGGAGTGTGTCTGCCGGGTGACCACCCCTTCCTCCTGTGGGAGGTCAGCCACGTGGGTGGGTAGACCTAGGCCACCCTCTTTGTCAAAAGTAACTTTTCTCCTCTACCCTGCTCCTCCCATACCTGTGTCTGCGGCCATCTGTCCCTGGTCTTCCAGCCCCTCTGCGGCTGGCCCACAGCCTCTACATGGAGCACGGCTCCCTGGGGCCCTGAGAGGACACGTGACACCCTGTTTGGGCCTGCGCAGGTGGGTGGGTGTGCCTGGCCCCTCCCGTGGGCCCATCTGCCGGCCCTGCAAGTGTCCTGGCTGCCACAGAACAGGCTGTGAGCACTCGGCATGGGAACATGGAGGACGTGGTGGGCGCCACACTGAGTGGGCGCCCTGGAGTGAGGTTTGGGGAATTGACCCTCGGCAGAGCAGGAAGGTCTGGCAGACGTCCTTGACCTGAGTGCAAGGTTGCAGTCACTGCCGGACTTCTGCGATCTATGCCCCTTCCTGTGCTGAGGCCGCCTCCGCTCTGTGGAGGTGTAGGGCTGGCCTGGCGGGAGCTGGCTGCCCTGGGACGTGGTGGCAGTGCACAGAGCCCACGCGGGCCGGGCTCTGAAAAAGCCGGAAGCGGCGTTGCCTCAGTCGCCGGCGTGGCTGCTGCTCTTGCTTGCCTGTGTGGGGCGACTGAGGGCCCAGCAGACTTCCTGCCGCCACTGTGCGTGGCCGGGCAGAGGCTTGCTCGGCCCACTGTGTGTGTGGGAAGCCACTGACAGGAAGTGCTGTGAGCTGTGCTTTCTGAGCACTGCTTGTGCACTTGGGAGGTTTCTGTGTTAGCTGGGGAATCGCCTTGTCTCCATGGGCCGTTGTTCTGTGTTTTGGCGTTAAGCCCCTCCAGAGGTGGAGTCCTGGGATGACCGCAGACAGCTTGACGGGAAGGCCAGCTCCCCCTCATCTGAGCAAGCAGGGTCCTGCCAGGCCGGACAGGCCCACATGCAGGCGTGACATGTGACACATAGGGCCCTAGCTCATGTTCCAGCTGCCAGCGGCTCAGTGTCGTGTCTGTAGCCCTTGTTTGTTGGTGGGGCCTCAGGCGCGGTGCCCCGGCTCACTGCTGCCCCGGCCTGCTCGAGCGCTCTGTTGCTCAGGTCTGCCCGCTCACTGCCGCCTCTGGCCTTGCAGTCTACCCTGACGGAAGAGTCTGCATTTCCATCCTGCACGCACCGGGAGATGACCCCATGGGCTATGAGAGCAGCGCCGAGCGCTGGAGCCCGGTGCAGAGTGTGGAGAAGATCCTGCTGTCCGTGGTGAGCATGTTGGCAGGTGAGTGCCGGGGCAGGACCCCGGGCCGGTCTGTCTCCGCATGCAACTGCATCCTGTCTGATGGTCTTTTTCAGAATTGGAGCTCGGGTGGCAGGTGAAGGTTGTGTGTTTTAGCCAGGCATACCATGTACTCGGTGTTTGCCCCTCTGCCGGTGCGAGGCACCACACTGCCGATGCCCAGTGAGAGAGGGTAGGAGCACACGGGGGCTGTCAGTCAGCTCGTGGGCGGGGTTTCTGGGGTGAGTTCAGGGCATGCCGGCACAGTAGGAGGGTAGGAGAGGCGTTGGGGCTGAGGCCTGGGGCAGGAGGCAGCCGAGTTGTGGGGCCCTGCCAGCTGCTAACAGCAGAACGAATGCTGAGGGGGGGGAGAGGCCCTGCGGAAGCGGGCCAGGCAGGGTGCCCGGGCAGGACCTGGGGGCTGGGGCGGCACATGATGTCATCTGGGCAGGGCTGCTGCTGGTGGCAGAAGGAGGGGTGGTTGGGGAGAGGCCGACATACAGGGTGGGGCTCCCGGGGCCTGGGCCACAGAGTGCTCTTTGAGCACAGCTCTGCGCCTGGCTGTCTTTCCCAGTGAAGGCATGTCCACCTGCTGTGGAAGCTGTTCCCTAAGGACCCCCTGGCGTGGGGAAGGGACTTCCTGGCTAAGATAGGGTGACAGAGTAGCCAGGGCAAGGGGTCCTCAAAGGAACCCAGGGAAGAATGTTCTAGAAGATGAGCAAATACGAAATTGCCACCAGAATGCCAGGGCTGGGGTCAGGCATCCTTGATGGACTGCATGTTGGGACGGTAAGAGTGGTGACCGCTCAGGGCTCCCCCAGAACAGGCCTGTATGGGCTGAGCAGCTGTGCACTTGGTGTGTGCCTGTGCTGGTGTCCAAGGCTCCGAGTGGGGTAGCAGGTGCCCGAGCCAGCCTTGGCATGCACGCACGGTGCTGCCCTCTCCCACACCCACAGGACCAGTACCCTTGCTTGGGTCAGGGCACCCCCAATGCTTGCTCTCTCTCGAGAGGCGCTCCTGGCCAGGCCGCTGCCTGTTACTCAGTGGTGCGCTTACTAGAAAGACAGAACTACAGAGAAAGGAGAGCGTGCCCATACCAGTTTACTCTGCCAGTGGCCGGGACTGGGCCAGGCAGGAGCCAGGAGCCTCTTCTGGGTCTCCCACATGGGTGCAGGGCCCACGTACTCGAGCTGTCCCACACTGCTTCTTGGGTGCCTCAGCAGGGAGCTGGGTCAGAAGTGGAGCAGCTGGGATCCGACCCGGGTTACTCAGGTCACACGCGGCCGCCGCTCTCTGAGGTCAGCATCGTGTTTCCTTCAGAGCCCAATGACGAGAGTGGAGCGAATGTGGATGCTTCCAAAATGTGGCGTGATGACCGGGAGCAGTTCTACAAGATCGCCAGGCAGATCGTGCGCAAGTCCCTGGGGTTGTGAGGCGCCGTGTGCGCACGCGCCTGGCAGTGCTGGATCGGCAGGACTCCGGGTGACAGGGACACTGCGGCACCTAACAGGCACTCGGGCAGAGCCACCGCGTCTCGCTTCTTACCCTCCCCACCCCTCAGCCTCTGCTGAGCTGGCGTCCGCGGCTCGTCGCAGCCAGGGCCGCCGGCCGTCACTACCTCTCCCCGTGGAGGCCGCTGCCGTGGCTTCCCTTCCCTCCCCTCCCGGGTGAGGCGGGCCCCAGGAGGCGTCTCTTGCCTCCTTTCCGGCTGTTTCTCACCGTCTGGCTGTGGCGTGAGCTGGCACGTGGAGCCGCCTTCTAGAAGTCCATTCCATAGCCTGTGGTTGGTGGACGTGAGCAGTGTGGGGCCCTGGGGGCAGGGCCGAGGCCATGGAGGCGGGAGCCTGCGGCCGGGAGGGGCCGTGCCTTACCCCCACCCCGCAGTGGCCCCACGGGCTGCACTTGGGCGGCTGCGCGGCCGGGGCCTGGAGGTGACGTCACAGCAATAACACATCTGCGTGCAGAGTCCTCGCGGTCACATTTCCATAGGAGTTTCTATTTTTGAAATAAGGGGTGGGTGTCCTCTCATCTCCCCTGCCCTTTGCTGCCGTCTGTGCCCTGGCGGTGGCACCCACGGGGCTGGCTCCTCCTCGCTTCTGGGGCGAGAACAGACTGCGCACGCGGGCAGGGGGGGAGGGGCGGGCTCTACAAACAGGTGTTTCTACACGTTTGTATTTATTAGATGCCCGCCCGCCCCTGTTCTGTAGAATTTAATTACTGTGTTGCAAATAAAGTTGTCTATTTTCCCCACTACTGGCTCCTCCTCGTGCTGGCCCTGGGGAGTGCGTAGAGGCCATGTTAGGGTGCAGGTTCTCCTGGCCTAGGGCCTGCTTGCCTGTCCCCCTCGGTCTCCTGGGGAGGAGGTGGCAGTGGCCAGGATGGTGCCGTCCTCCCTCAGGGCTCTGCCCCGTGCCCTGAAGCCCACATGAGGGAAAGGTGACAGGCCTGGGGGACGGCAGGGGCACAGTCACATCGCGTGCCGTCGCCTCCCTCCCTGCCGTCCCTGCCCAGGGCTCGTGTGACCGTGAGCCAGGGCCGGGAGGGCCCGCTGACTTAACTACAGTCCTTGTGGGCACAGGTGGGAACCAGGCCTTGGTGCCATGCGTCGCTCCAGCCTGCAGCAGCATAGCTGGGACAGCTGCTCCGTGCCACCTTCCACACGGTGTGCTGGGCTTGACTCCACACCCACCTGTACCAGGGCCTGTCTTGGCACCCACCTCAGCCCCTGTCCATCCCTGGCCGCCATCTTGCCCTGTAGCCCGAGAAGGAGGCTGGGGGCCCCTTCTACCAGCACACTGCCTTCTGAGGGTGTCCTGCCCACCTGCTGACTCCACTGCTTGAAGACTGAAGCTGGAGAAACCCGTGTGGGGCTGTGGGGAACCCAGACCTCCCAGGGCACAGCGCCCTCTGCTGCCCAGCACGGGCCTGGTGTCATGGCCAGCTCAGAAGGCAGCAGCTGAGGACCTGGGCGTTTGGTCATGCTGACAGCGACACTGCAGCCCCATGCCCAGGGGACAGCGCCCCTTCACCCCTGCTGCCAGGTGGACGTGGAGGCTGCTCTGCTCGGTCCCTCTGCCACGCCTGAGCCTCAGCTGTCTGCCCGCCCCGATGGCAGTGGGCTGCCAGGGCCTGGTGGAGATGGGTCAGGGTCCCTCAGCTTGTCAGTAGCCCTGTCCATGCTGAGCATGGGGCTGAGGTGGGCACGGAGCTTTGTCCTGGGGTGGCATTTAGGGGGTCTCCCCTCACTGGCTCCCCCGAGGACATGTCCAGTGTGATGGAACACAGGTCTGGGCCGCTGCTGTCCCTGGGACCCTGGTTTGCTCAGGGGTGGAGGACTTGTGGCAAAATGACCAGTCATACATAACGTGTGTGCAAGTCCATGAGGTGGCATGTGCGTACGTGTATGTGTGTGTATGTCCAGGTGTGCGTGATGCACATGTGTAGTGTGTGTGTGTGGCCTTCAGCTTTCTAGCTGAGGACCTGACACTTCTCTCAGGGCTAGCAGCTGACAGACTTGTGCTTGTCACACCCGTCTCCTGGGACTGCGCGGAGGCCGTGGCGTGTGGGAGCCACGCGCGCCAGCGTGGGCCCTGGGTCCTTGGCCTTGTTGCAGGGCTGTGTCCAGGCTGCTGAGTCCTTTTCCCTCTTATCTGTCCTCTGCATACTTCACACGACACTGCACACCTCACGTCACCACAGACCTCACACCTCACTGTGTACATGACCTGTTGCCTCACGCTGTGCACCACGCATCCACTCTCCGCCTTGCCCCCTCTGGAGCTGGTCCTTGGGGGCACACGGCACAGGCTTTGTGCCCAGGTTCGGGAATGAAGTGGTTGCTCTTCCTCCTCCTCGCCCTCTCCTGTGAGGTGTGTGCTTGCTGTCGTTCTCCCCGCGTCTCGTGCTGGGTGTGGACGTCAGACAGAGCCCGGCCGTGAGTCCGCACGTTTGCTCGACCTGGGGTAAGCGCCCGACTCCAGCCTGAAGCTCAGCTGCTCTGCGCCGCCCCTCCTCGCTGCGAGCCTTGTGTCTGCTGCTCTGTGCGGGGCTGTCTCTGGTTTTTCTGTTGTGGCTCAGGAGTGTTCACATGTGTCATTGTCACGTCCTGGTACCCAGTTTTCCAGGAGCTGGACGTGGCTGTTTTCTCACTTCCCTTGAGCCCTTCCGCGTCTCCCCACATCTGTCCCTGACTCCCCCGACCTCCGAGGCTCCTGGCCCCCTCCTCTCAACCCCCTGTTCTCTAGCAGTGACGGGCACCAGCAGTGCGAGGCCTCACTCAGGCTGCTGTCCTGACCCTGCCTCTGACTCCCGCCTGGAGCATCCCGGGGGCCTCGTCTGTGGAGCTTGGGGTGGGTGGGCAGGGGCAGCCACAGTACCTGCTCTCAGCCCTTCCCGTTCCACCCTGTGTGGTTGCCAGACTCTGTTGGGTGGCTGTGGCCAGGAGTGCGCTGGCCACCTCAGGAGGTTCTGTTTGCTGTCCCTGACACCTCAGGACCCTGCGACGTGTGTGTGATCCAGGGCCCTGGCACCAGGTCACTCCTCTGCCCGCTGCCCTCTTCATACTGATTTCTGGGACCCCACATGGCCCTCTTCTTTCCCTGTTTCTGGAAGGGCCCCGTTGCTGCATGGCTCCTGGACTCACACCCGTACCCCTCAGTGCCTGGTGTTAGGTGCCAAGGGCCTGCCCCATGACAGCGACTGTAGCTCTGGGCAGTGCTGTCCTGCCAGGTGTCCGGGGTGCTCACCTGCGAGCTAGGAGGGCAGCTTGGCGCTGGAGCTTCCTGCCCTTTGGCCTGTTTAAGGAGGCGCATGTTAATGTGCCTACGTGTGGGTACGAGTGGAGTGGGCACAGGCCAGGGAGGGGCGAGTTGGTATGGAATCCCGGGTGCAGATGTCTTGAAGGGTGTCAGGCTCACTCAGGGCGCCAACCTCGTTGGGGTCTCCCCAAACAATGATTGAAATAAAGCCAGCAAGAGGCACCGGACACCCAGAGCTGGGTGCTGGCCCTGCTAGACGGGCCTGGTTGGTAGACGCTGTCCACTTGGCCAACCCCCCAGGAGCTGCAGAACCCGGGCTGAGGGAAGGCCCCAGTGCAGCGGGCAGCAGGGGAGGCCACCACCAACATGAGGGGGGATGAAGGACGGCTGGGGGACAGCGTGTTCTAGAATGAGGGCGGGACTCGGCCAGTCCAGCTTCTCTGCCTGGTGGGCAGCGTTGGCAGCACAAGATGGGGGCAGATGGGCTGCTCTGTGCACACCAACTAGTGGGAGCCCATGGCTGCTCACAGCAGCCCCACTGTGGGCCGAAGCCTGCAGCTCTGTGCCCCCGGCACTGGGCTGGCACGAAGCCCATCAGATAGCGTTTCGCTTACCCAGCAGCACCATGTCTCTGGGCACCTTCAAGTGCTTCCATGCACCCTCGAGACAGCGATTACCAAGTCGTTAACCTAAATTTAGCCTGCGAGTCATAAATAAGCCAGCCACATGAATCACCTGGGCTCTGCCAGCCCGCACACGCTTGGCTCCCAGGTGAGCGTCATTACAGGTGAGCGCCGGGAGCCCCACGGCCTCGTGGGGAGGGTGACGCCCCTTCGCCACAGCCCGTGGCTGGCTCCTGAACAGTGCAGGACAGGGACACGCGTGGAGGGCCCACAGACCAGGGCAGCGGGGTCCTCCCATCTTGGGAGCAACCTGGGTCCAGGAACTGGCTTGGGGGCTTCCTGGCTGACACGAGGTTATGGCTGGCTGCCCTCGTGTGGCTCTCAGGGCAGGGCCCAGGCTGCACCATGGTCCCTGGGGTCAGGCTGGAGCCTGACAGAGGCCAGCACCCTGGCCAGTACGGCAGGCCACGGGGTAGCCGCTGCTTCCGTTCCCTGGGCACTGCAGGAGCGCTCCAGATCCTGTGCTTTGTTGGTCTCCTCCGTGTGCCCTTCTCCCAGGACGACCACAGCTGACTTGGCATCTATTTCCTGTTCTGTTGGCTCCTGGTGAGTGAGCTGGTACTCCTTGAGGGTGACACTCAGCTGCACAGAGGCCACTCCCCGGCCCCGATGGAGACCCGATGGGGCCTGGGGTCCCTGGGGAAGGCAGAGGCTGCATGGCAGAGGTGGTGGCAGGCAATGTGTCCAGTGAGACTCCTGCAGTCAGAGGGGGCTACCAAGGACCCCCAGAACTCAGAACCAGTACCACGGGAAAACCCACACAGGAGCTGGATGCCCAGCCCTCTCCAGCACCATACTGGTCCAGGAAATGATTGATTGAGTCTGTATCATCCAGCCATGTTCTGCTGGAGTGGGTGGGCGGTCAGCTGCCTTAACTGTTGAGGGGGATGGTCGCTGGGCGGCACTGGGGGTGCAAGGGTTAGAAGCTCAGGCTGGGGAGGCCCACGAAGGGAGCACCTGCTAGCCCACCGCGGTGTGGCCACAGGGCCTCTGGACCTGCAGGGGCGTGTGGCTTGTTTCCAGCCGTGGGTTTGTGGCTGTTGCCTCAGCAGGTTTGGACAATGTGGAACTCGGCGAGGGCCAGAGTGCTTCAAGCAGATGTGTTCTGTTTCCTGCCAGGGTTTCCGAGCTGGTGCAGATTCGGGTGCCCACACCTGTGTCTGTGGGGCGCTGGAGCTCTCGGGGCTCTGTCCCTGCTGCCCGTTGCTGGGGCTGCAGTTCAGACTCCTGTTGGCAGCATCCACATGTGCTGGGCTGTCCTGGCACACTGAATGTTGGTTTGAAGGGTCAGGTCATTTCCTTGCAGGGCGCCCACCACACGGGGAACCTGGGTCCTGTCCTCCAAGGCTTGGAGATGCTCATGGCAACCTCTCGGCCACTTGTAAGAGCTGGCCGGGGAATGGGTGCAGCTGCACCACAGTGACCATGCTCGGGCAGGCGCTGGCGGGGCGCCACCAGAGCAGCTGCCAGCCAGCGACGACCACAGGCACCTTCCGTTTCTGCACCTCAACTCCACGTTCTACCACTGCACGCTCAAGTTGAGAGCTTGTCCCACGGAGCCACATGTGTCCCTCCCGTGTGGTGACCCCTGCACCAACGGCCACGCCAGAGCCACGTGTATCCTCACATGGTGACCCTTGTGCTGAGGGTCACCCCTCCCGTGTGATGATGACTGTGCTGGGCACTCCCAGGCACCAGGAGAGGACCCCTCGGTGTGCTCAGAGCTGAGGCATGTTCTCACCAGGGGCTCTGCAGGACACCCTGCCAGCCGGTGGGGAGCCTTCACTTTCATGTCCCATCTAGCTGGCTG